GCAAATTATAAAGTTGTCTGATTAAAAGGATTGGAAAAACAATCAATTTATTGAAATTGGGGATTAGAATATTAAAAAATTTAAAATTAATTTTTAGCAAATCCTTCTCTCAAAAATTCCCCATTGCACAGATCTTTATCGCAGTATTTATATCTTTCAAAATTTCCAGATTTTTTTGTTTCCACAGGTGCTCCATCGCTAACACTCAGGCATCCTCTGTCATATTGACCTTGGTAGTCCGTGGGAAGAAGATAGCAGAGGTGGCCTAGAAAATTGGAAAAAAGTTAGNCCGTTCAGGAGGACGAGATCACATGGCCTAGAAAACTCCAGCAATTTTGCTTCCGCGGCCACAGAAAAATTGCTGGTTTTTCTACTTTCTGCATAAGGAAAAACCAGCAATTTGCTGAATTGTTTCTCACTGAATAACCCCATAAAGAAAATTTACAAAAATTCCTGAAATGAGAAAACTCCGAAAAATCGAAAAAATTAATTGGAAATTCAATTTTCTGATTTTTTTGCGAGATTTTAGAATTTTCAGTTGAAATTCGGAAATCCTGAAAAGTTGGAATTTCTGGAATTTCAGAATTTCTATATTTTCTTGAATTTGTCAAATTTCTTAATATCCTTTATTTTCAGGATTTTTAAAAATGTTGAATTTCTGAAAACTTGGAATTCCTGAAATTACACGCTTTCAAATTTCCTAGAATTTCAGAATTTTCGAATATCAGAAGTTTTGAATTTCTGAACTTCTGATCTTCTGAATTTCCAAATTTTCAGAAGTAGCCAAATTTCTGAATTTCTTCGATTTTCAGATTCTCCTGGGAATTCTGAAATTTTGGAAGTTCAGAATTTCATGATTTTCGAATCAAATTCGGAAACTTGGAATTCCGGAAATTATCCACTTTTCAAATTTTCTAGAATTCCAGAGTTTTCGAATTTATGAATTTTTCGATTCCTGAACTTCTGGATTTCTGAATTTCCCAATTTGCTTTTTTCCAGACCTCCCCAATTCAATACAAAGACGACGAAAACTACACCTACATGTACAAAAACGACATCTACGTCTACATGCAACATTTGGGTTACTATGATTTCTTCGGAGTGCCTGAAAACGATTTTATCAGCTCGTGTGTAGCATATTTTCTCAAAACCCACGAAATGAAATATAATGGAAATTGCGAATTGACAGAATTTGATCATGTGGAGTGGGAAGAAATTCAAGCGAAATTTCATAAATTTGTGAAGGAAGAAATGGAAAAAGGGATTGAAAGGGTGAAAGAGGCACCGACAACCATTCCAGACGTCTTCGAAACTGTAAAAGGGATTCTGCCTCCGTGCCCTCGGGATCCAGAATATTCGGATATTGCAGTACTGGTCCACAAGTTTGATGACAAATTTCCGTTGAAAGGAAACGAAGAAACATATGGAAATCTATTGCATTGGCTGGAAATTGTGATCAAAAAGCATGCAGAAATAATTGAACAATATGATTGTTGGTTCCTTCCGGATTCTGAGAAGACGCATTTTGATGCAAAACTTGTGCGGGTTTTTGAAAATGAGGAACGGGATTTTGTGATGGCTTACGAGACATTGCTCAGACATGACAATCAATCGGCTCATGACGGATTGAAGAAAGGGATTGAGAGCTCGTCGACACATAAAACCATCAGATATGAGGAAATGATCAAGAAGTATGGGGGTCAGGACTTGTTTAAGGTAAGATAAGAATCTAAGAATACATATAAGAATATAAGGATCTAAGAATCTCAGAATCTAATAATTTCTTAATTTCTTAATTTCTGAGTTTCGTATTCTCAGAATATCCCGTTTTGAATACCGGAATTTTGGAAACTCAGAACTTCACTTGAATTATAAGAATCTCCAAATTCAGATTCTCAGAATCTCAGAATCTAGACATCTTACAATTATAAAATTCCTAATTTCAATTTTTCCAGTTCGTCATCTGCTCGATCCCCCGAGCAGATCGTGCTCCGATCCCAATTCCAACTGTCAATGGAAAATACTGCTATTTTGCATCAGACGTCGTTATACTTGTTCTCCAGGACCTTATCACAATGACTGGACTCTTTCAACACGTCCACGCAGACAATTGGAACCTTGTCCATAAAATTTTCGATGACTTTGGCAAAGATTTATTCATAATGAATGAGGTATGTTATTCCGTGAAACATTACTTATTTTAGTTGAATGTTAGTTGAACTTTGAATTTCAAAAGAAAAATTATAGATTTAGTTGGATGAGGCTGTAAATTTCAAAGTAAATTAAACAATAATACATGGAGCTTTAATTTTGTAGTTGACAACTTTTTTAAAAATGTTCATCCAAATGAGATAAACTCAGTTAATTTCAGTCGGTCCCATTCTTCATTGACACTCTAAAAGTTGATCATCTCCGACAGACGCTTCCTTCCTATCTGCTCAACGTTTTTGGACCGGAATTACAAAAAATCAAGGGACTTCAAGATAAGCCAGTTTTTGAACCATGCACATGTGAGGAGATTATCAAATACCAGGGACTAGAAAAAGCAATGCCTGATCTCTCTGACTATAATCTACCGAAATTGGAATTGGTTTTTGAGACCGAGGCATGCGCTTATCAATCGATGGAGATTGTTCAGTTGAATGCTCTGTTGTCTAAGTATTTAGAAAAGGTGGGTTGGGCAAGGGTTGGGCTAGGGTTGGGCAAGGGTTGGGCTAGGGTTGGGCAAGTGTTGGGCAGGTGTTAGGCAAGTGAAGAAGAGTTCGGGTAGAGTTGGACAGTAACAAGACAACCTGTTATGTTTTGGTTGTCTTGGACATGGAAGTCTTGGACAAATATTACAAAAGTCATGGGCAAGCATGGTCAAGTCTAGGGCAAGGTATGGACAAGACCTGCCCATGGGTAGTCCAAGTTCCATGAATTATACTTTCAGCGGACTGGCAGACGGCTGACCATATCTTGCCCAAATTAATTCCAGACCAAGTGATGGACAAGCCTTGGGCAAGACTTGGGCAAGATTTGGGAAAGTCTCGAACAAGTCATACCCAAGACTTAATGAAGACTTGGTCGAGGCTTAAACAAGGCTTGGCCAAACCTTCGATAAAAGTTGGGCAAGACTTGGGCAAGACTAGGACAAATCTTGGGCGAAATTGCAATTTTTCAGCCCGCCTACTTCGTCCATACCCAAGGAGTGTGCAAAGGAGTTCCGATGACTTGCAGAATTTGTGTCAGAAAGGAGCACATGCAGAAAGCGGCGGTGGACCTCAGAGAAAAGTTTGCCAGCATTGTTCTTGAGTGCGTTTTTGAAGTGTTGTTTGGATTACTGTAGAAAATTGATTTCAGACACAAAAAGGTCAAGGAAGAGGCAGAGCGGGCAGCTGCTGAACAAGCTGAAAAAGCTGAGCAAGCAGGACAAGCGGCTCTGGAAAATCCCAACCAGCCGGGATCATCGGATCCGCCGAAACCGAAAGCTAAGCCTTGGAAAAAGGACAAGAAGAATAAGAAACAAGGACCGAATCAGGGGAAAAAGAAGAAATGACGAATTTTTTGGAATTATTTTTAACTATTTTTGAAATTTATATTCCATTTATTTTTGTAAATTTGCATATTATTTGAATATGGTATGTTAAAATGAAGATTTCGAAATGAAATTGGATTTTTTCTTAAAATAATTTGTTTTAAAAGGATTGGAATTGTCGATTTTCATTACTAAAAAAAAGTATTAAAACATGTATTGAAAATGAAAAGTAGTTGAAAAAAAGGGAAAAATTTAAAAAGTACAAAAAAGCAGAAGGAAAATTCAGAAATCTAATAATCTTCTTCCTCTTCCTCGGCGGCCTCAAGTTCCTGTTGGATTTCGTAATCCAACTTCTTGATGACCTTTTCGTAGATTGCTGGTGGTGGTGGAACACCTGGGAAGCATGGGAATGCGATCTTCTGGAAATAATTGGAGTTTTAGGATTTCGGGATTATGGGATTCTGAGATTTTGAAATTCTGGGGTTCTGAAATTTTAAGATTCAGAAGTTCTGGGATTTTGAGATTCCGAGAATCGGAAATTCTGAGATTCTGAGATTTTGAGATTCTGAGATTCTGAGATTCTGAAATTATAAGATCCCTGAATTTCTGAGATTCGGAAATTCGGAGATTACGAAACTCTAAGATTCTCAGATCCTGAGAAGGTTTTCAGATTCTGTAATTTAAAATTCTGGAAATCCCGATTTCTGGAAATCAGAACTTCAAAATTTCAAATTTCCAAGTTCGATTTTGAAATTTCAAGATTCAGAGATTCAAAATTTTGACACCTATTCGAAATTCTGACATTTTGAGATTCTAGAAATCTGAAATATTCTAGAACTTTGGTCTTATCAATATTTTCGTTATTTGAAATTTTAGAATTCCTAGATTCGAAATACTCCAACTCACATTCTCATACACTTGACGACGCTCCTTGAAGTTTCTTCTATCGATTTGTCTGTCGTATTTGGAAGCAACTTGGACCTTTGGCTGAAAAATATTTGTTGTGGATTTTTCAAAATCTTGTCACTTTGAAACTCTGAATTATCTCAATTTTTTACTCAAAACAAGTAACTTACTGGATGTCTTCCACCGGTATCATCTCCGCTGACTTGTCCATTCTTCGCATTGTTGGCACGAGCGACCTGACGAGATCTCTCGTTCAACTCCTTCAAATCGTACTCCTGTCTCTCGTGTCTCTTCTCTAAATCGTATTTCTGAGCCTCGAGCTTACAGATTCTTTGATGAAGCTCCTTGATCTTGGCCTTCATGTCGTTTGGAAGAATCGTGGAAGCCTCGGCAATGTTCTTGCGGATGCCTTGCATGAAGACAGTCTTCGCCTCTTCTTGCTGCTCTTTGGTCATTCCCATTTCTTGTTTAGCTTGGACAATGTTTCCGAAACGGTCACCAACACCAGCGGACTCCTCCTTCTTATTGATGACGAAGTTTCTGGAAGGATCCATTTTAGCTTTATGGTATTTGGTATTGTCTTCTTGCATAGCCACCGTTCCCACCATGTTCAGTACCCGGCAAAAGTAGATTATTCATGCTGTGTATTTGTTATCAGTGTAAAATAGTTTTTTTTTCGATATACTCCGAACTCTGATTTTCGAGAATTCCAAAAATCCAAATGTTGAAAATTCAAATAAAATTCTTTAACTTTCGTTAACTTTCGGTAACGGTAACTTGCCCAAAGCCTGAGACCCCATGCCAAAATCTAAGATTCTCACCTTCCTCCTTGTTGTCCAGCAGCGAAGCCACCTCCCATCATTTGGGCCTTCTTCAGCTTCTCCTCTTCCTTTCTCTTCTTCTCCTCCTCGGCACGAGCACGACGATCCTCTTCCTCCTTCTTACGCTTCTCCTCATCCAATCTCTTTTTTTCAGCAGCCTCCCGTTCCTCTTGCTCTCTGGCAAGACGACGTTGCTCTTGCTTCTCTTTCAACTTCTTCAGCTCCTCTTCTTCCTTTTCACGCTCCGAACGACGTGCCTTCTCGTAGTCGTCCAGTTTGGCTTGTTCGTCGTTCTCATGACGCTTCTTGGCGGCCAACATGGCCTTCTCGGCTTCATTCAGATTCTCACCGCTGCAAGAAAATAATTTTAAGGTTAATCGGAGATCGGGGAGGTGATATTTTTGTGTTTGAAGTGCATGAAAGCCGAAAAAAAGTGCGAATTGTGCAAATATTTGTTAATAGTTATCTCTTCATGGAGGTCTCTATGTTTCATAAAAATTTTTAAATTTAATAATTTTCAAAATTTTCAGAAATACAGAGATGTAAAAGTTTTGGAATATGAGAATTTCGGGATCTCAAAAACTTGAAGTTTGAAAATTCAGGAATCCGAAAATCCGTGAATCAAAAAAATCCGAGATTTTAGAATTTCGAGGATCTGGGGATCCGGGAATCAAAGGATCCAGGAATCTGAGAATCTAGGAATCCAGAAGTCCAGTGGTCCGGGATATTAGGATTGTGACAATCCAAGAATCTAGGAATGTTGGAATCTGGGAACCCAGGAATCTAGGAACTCAGGTATACAAAATCTAAATTCATAATCCCAAGAATCCTGGAATTCAGAATCCATGGATGCTGTAATCATATCACTAAAAGTTTTTCTAGATAGGAAAGAAGAAAAATAGAAGTACTCGAAAGTGACAGGAGCGTGCGAAGCGGCAGCCGGCGTGGCTGGACCACCGGTGTCGATAGAAGCTCTTTTGAACCTCTCTTCCTCGGCCTCCTCGGCAGCATCCTCCTCCTCGGCTTCGGCCTCTTCGACCTCTTCGACCTCCTCCTCTTCTACCTCCTCGTCTTCGTACTCAGAGCTGAAAATTGGAGAATTTGGAGATCGAGAATATGGAAATTTAAATTTTTTTGAATATCGGAACCTAGGAATCCGAGAATTCAAGAAACCCTGAGTCTAAGAGCCTGAGAATTCAGGAGTTTAGGGATTCCGGGAATCTGGAAATCCAGGTTCTAGGAATTCAGGAATCTAGAAACTCAGGAATCGGGGAATCCACGTATTCAGGAATTCCAGCAGTCTAGGAATCCGGGAATCCAGGAGTTCAAGAATTTTAAAGTTCAGGAGTCTAGGGATCCGAGAACTTAGGAATAAGAGTACCTGGAAATCCGGGAACCTAGGAAATTCAAGAATCCCTGAATTCAAAATTCTAGATATCTTGGGAATTCAGGAATCCAAAATTCCAGATAGCTAGAGACCTTGGAACATATGAATCCAGGAATCTAGGAGTTCTGGAATCACAGAATCCAGAAGTCTAGGGATCCGGGAATTCAGGAAACTGGGAATTTAGGAATCCAGAAACTGGAAAATCCTGAATGCAGGAATCCAAAAATTGAGGAATCTAGGATCTCCGGGAAACTAGAAACACAGGAATTCAAACATCCAGGAATCCAGTATCTTAGAATCCAAACTTCCAAGAATCCAGGAATTCAAGATTCTAGGAACTCAAAAAATTCAAAATTTTAAAATTTCTACTCACTATTCCTCGTCAGACATGATTCTTCAAGCTTGGCAGTTGACTTACCCTGAAAAAATAGTTTCTTTCAATTTTAAGAAAATTCGAAAATTCGAAAAAAAATCGAAAAAAAAGATTAGAATTTCTGTAAAAAATCGGTGGAAAATTCTAAAAATGTGGACAATGCTAAAAATCTTAGAATTTACAAAAAAGATTAACAAGCTTCAGAATATATCATTAGAAAAAATATGGTATAACAATTTAAACATTAAAAAACGGTCAAAAATTACATTATAAAAATTTCGGGAAAAGTCTTGGACATATCTGAAATGTGTGTCAGCAAATCAGCAACAATTAAAAAATCTACTCCCCCCCGAAAAAAAAGAAGCTCTCGACTAGTACCAAGTACCAGGAAAAAGAAAAGGAGCTCAAAACCAAGAGCAAGAAAAAAGTAACAAGAACTAAGCACACAATATATCCAACCAAGAGGAGCAAAAGTGTTACATACACAGTGTCTTTCCGAAGAGTTTACCTCCTCTTTTTCCGAGGATTCCAAGTAGGTGGATCTTCTTGAGAAAACGGGGGGCGTACTATGTGTACACTTAAAATAATATGGGATAAAGAGAGAGCAATAAGAAGAGCATCATATCCTGGCAAATCGCGCACTGTGCGGCGGAGAATCCTCTTGAGAGCTACTTGTGTCTACAACCTTGTCGAGCCATTGATCGCTGATGTGTAGGGGGGAGAAGAGAAAATGGGATGTAGAAATTGTGAGTAACATTTAATGAAAAAGTTTCAGATGGAAAAGGACCAATTCAAAATAAAGTTATGTTCCATTTCCGAAAATTCGAAAATTCTGAATGAAATTTTGAATTCCGGGATTTCGTCATACGAAAACAGTTATTTTTCAGAATATCCCGAAATTCTGATGATCGAAAATTCGAAAATTTATTCCGGAATTTCAAAACTCTATTCAGGAAATTTTTTTCCATAAGTCAGTCCCAAAAGTTTTTTATTATGTGGTATATTCTGTTTATTTTCAGCCTTTTTGAACCTAATCCGATCATAACGTAACTCAAAATGGACCGTTACCAATGGAAAATGAACATATCGACTTAGAAAAAAATTTTCTGGAGATTCTGAAAGCTAAACAAAAATCGAGTGAGAGGATCTCAAGTTTTGATGTGGATGAGGATTTCATAATATTCATAAATCCCAGCATTCAGGAATCTTAGGATCCAGGAATCCATGAATCCATGAATCCAAGAATCCAAGATTCTAGGGATCCGAGAATTCAGATATGTAGAATCACAGAAATGTAGAAATTCAAAAACCCAGCAATCTTGGAATTCGGAAATTTGGGAATCTGGGAGTTCAAAAACCAAAAATTTTAAAAATTTGAAATAGTGGGACGAACATGAAGCGTCTTGGTGAATCTAAAAACACCAGGAGTCTGGAAATCTCGAAAAGTGGGGTTTATTCGGTACTTCATAATGAATGTGCAGGCCATGTGAATTTTGTAATACAAAATAAACAAAACGGGATTGTCGGTTTGAGATCTCTCTATGGGTTGTACTCGATGGGCAAGTTCTTGTGACGGACCATTCCGTCTCCCTGGAACCATTCACGACGGAACTGCTTGGCGGCACCATCCGGTGTGTTGGTCCACTCGACGGTGATACGGTCGTTGTTTGTGTCCTGGAAGAAGATTTTTAAAGGAAATGTTTGGAAAATGGATAAGTTTTCAGAAGTTTGAACCGCGCGCGAACGCGGACCGTCCGTAACGGATTGTTCGCGAATCACCTGTGGAGAACAAGTTTTGAAAAATTTAGTTTTTGAGAGACAATGGCAATTCATGAAGTTTCGAAAATTCAGAACATTGAATATTCGAGAAATAAAAAAAATCAGGAAATATTTCAAGCTTTTGAGGTTTCAGAATTTTCAGAAAATACAAATGTTTGCAGTTCGGAATCCAGAAAGTTCAAAAAACTAGTTTTTGGGATCTTTGCAAGTTCTGAACATTTGAAATTCCGTTCCCAAAATGTGCCGGAAATTAGCATTGATATGAAAAATGTACCAATTAAACTCTTATCTCTTTTGGTTGGATTTGTACGAAAAAGTTGTCAACTACAAAAATGGAGCTCTTTTTTGTTGAGTATACTCGGCAATTTTTAGAGAATTCTGAAGATCCTAGACCTGTTTTTCAGGACTTCCAAGTTTTCTGTTTTTCGCGGAAAAAGTGGAAATAGTTTTCGTTCTCCTAAAATTTTCATCCAGTATTCGGCAAGTTTTAGACAACAAAAAAAACATAATTTTCGATTCCCCTACAAAGATCAGTTCTAAAGTTCCTTGATTCTTAAATTACTCTCCTTAAACCGTTCCAAATCACAAAGTACCCTTGAATTCCTATAAAATGACCCTGTGTCATCGTTTTCTTGTTCTTCTCTTCTTCCCAAAAGGTGACTACTTAACCGGTTTCTCTGCGTCGCTCCGATTCTCTCACTCTCTCATCTCTTCGTTTTCTCGTTCATCCGTAACATCGCCAGCCAAACAGTCATCCCGAAGTGTTTGAATGTGTGTTTTTCGTGTTTTATTTAAAAAATGCAGGTTTTTTTGAATATTTTTGAAAAGTCAAGGTTTTTTGTGTTTTCTTTAAAACGCAGTACATTTTTTTCTGAAAAGACACAGTTTTTCGTATTTTGTATAATTGCCGATGCGCGGCTTTATGAGTTGAGCGGGGCCATTCAATTTGTTCTGATTTTCATCTACTTTCAAATGTTTCGAGTAGTCGGTTAGAATTTTTTACGACCTTTATGAAAAATATGTTTGTTAAAATTTTATATTTTTCGTGAATTTTTTCGTGAATTTTTTTTAGGTTATGAAAGTACTTTTAACAGTTAATGGGATTTACTTTTCAACAATTGAATAATCAATTGGGCTGGGAGAAATGTGACAGGAGTTTTTTTGAATATATAATGGCAAACTAGTTATATTAAAAATGTACGGGTCTGTTGAGAAGTTAGAAAATGCATAAATTCGAAAAAAAAATAGAAAAAATTTTTTCCCAACTTCTTCAAATTGAATTTAAAAATTCAATTTTTTGACAACTAAATGATTCTACTTCTCCATCAACCAGTTTTGACCCATTCCCCGTTCCTTTTCTTGTTTCTTCTTCCCATTTTTTGACTGTTTTGATAAAAGATCAACTTTCTCTTTTTCTCTATTTCTCTCATTTCTCTCCACTTCACTGATGACTCACAACTTCCTCATTATCTATTTGTCTTGACAGACTATCAGTAATTTTTTAAAATAGAAATCTATAAAACTATTATGAAATTGAATCTGAACATTTTTGATCATTTTTGCTTCCTTTAAACCGGAAAAGCAGTCCTAAATGGCTGGTTTTTCTTTGAATCTCTCAAAACGAGTTTTTGACTTTCTGAAGTTTTTTTTTTGAACTCTGAAAATATGAATTCTTAAAAAAAAGATTGGAAAGTCAGAATTTCGAAAGTTCGGAAATCCGGAAATTCGGAAATGTGGACAGTCGTGAATACAGAAATTTAGAATTTCGAAAATTCGGAAATTCAGAAATTCAGAAATTCAGTGAAATCCATTTTTCCACTTTTGAATTTTCAAGATTATGAAAATCAGAAACTTGAAAAACTTATTTCTTACTTTTCAAGTTATCAACATTCTGAATATCTCAATTTCGGAACTATTTTTTTTCCGAAATTACCAAAATTTTGAGTTTCTGAATTAAACATTTCTTAAGCTCTGAGTTTCCAAATTTGCTAGTATAGGCCCTTCAACAACTTTTTTCAATTTTTGTATATTTTCAGCTTATTCTTCAAATTCCAATTTTTTTCAGGAATGCGACCAATTGTTCTTCTCCTTTTTCCAATTTTTTCGTTATCAATTCCACTGGGAAAACAAACGGGATATGATGATGCAGAAGCCAGAAGACTTGTAAAATTGGCGGCAGCTGCTTATGGTGATAAGCACGCTACTTGTATCAATAAGTGATTTTTTGAAATTGTTGAAAAAAATCTAAACTTTCTGAAAATGTTGAAGTTACCAAATTTGTCTAAATCTAAAATTTTCGGAAACAAATGTCTGAACAAATCTAGAACTCTTTTGAAAATCTAAACATGCTAAAATTAAATTTTTTTTATTGCAGAGCCTTCCCAAATGGAGAAAATTTTCACATTGAAAATATGGAGCAAAAGAGTTGCGACCACTTGGATAGTACCTGTGCAGCCTACGCTGGTAAGTTTGAGCATGTATATCTCTTTTCCTATGACAGACATCAAAAAGTAGTCAACTGATAAAATGTTTATCATAATATCAGCAATGTTTTATCAGTTTATCATTTCTTGATCCCTATAACAGGTATCGAGATAATTAGGCTCAAAGCTACTGATAATCCAAAAAAAAACAATTTTCAGTGGTTTCTGAGCACGCAAAACGGATAATTGTGGTTTTTCGAGGGACCAAATCGAAATCTCAATTATTTTTGGAGGGATGGCAATCTGTTCATCAAGGAATCGACTTTTTCGATATGGGAGATGTGAATCGATATTTCTTGAATGCTCATTTAGTATTATGGCCGGAAATTGAGAAAGTGATAACCAATCCAAGATGGGTGGTAAGTTTTGATCTTAATTTTTTTAATTTCTGTAAGATTTCTGTGAGAGATCAACTGATAAAACATTTTTCATATTATCAAAAACATATTTGTAGATTGCAGATTTTTGATATCTCCTACAGAAATTTAGATAACTGAGCTACAGTACCGGTCAATAAGATTTAAAAAAACCTATTTTTCAGTTGATTTTGACGATTTTCAAGAGTCTACAGCTTGGCTGTCAAGTGCTCAATCACTTTAAAAATGTCGAGTGGTGTGAAAAATACCTAGATTGAAAACTTTGCATTCATGGATTTTCATAAAAATTCCTAGTTTACCATGCCGATATCTTGAGTATACGATAGGTATATGAAAAAAGTGAATGTCCTTCAGAAAACGGCAAAAGCTGTAAAATTAGGGAAATTCAAGAAATTCTGTGAATGAGAAATTTTCAGTCTAGGTCTGTTTTACACGCTTCAAGATTTAAAAAATGATCGGAAGCTTGACAGCCAACCTCCAGACTTCTAGAAACTATCAAAATCAACTGAAAAATACGTTTTTGTATATCTTACTGACCGGTACTGCATATGCATCCCTTCCTTCAAAGTTTCCATGGAAACAAACAAAACCTTTTTTCAGGACTACGAAATCACATTCACCGGTCATTCCCTAGGCGGCGCACTCGCTGCTCTCGCGGCCGCCCGTACCGCAAAACAAGGCTATCGACCTGGATCAATGATAAAAACCTACACATTCGGTCAGCCACGTGTCGGCACCCGACTCTTCGCTCGAAACTTTGATGCTCTCCTCCCAAACACTTATCGCGTTGTCTTCCGAAGAGATATTGTCCCTCATATGCCGGCGTGTCATAAGAATCAAACATTTATTTCGGAGCATGAAGGCGGAGCCAAGCCGTGTCATGCTGATCATTTGGATTATTATCATCATGGAACGGAGATTTGGTATCCAGATGAAATGAGCCCTGGGGCACATTATGTCGAGTGTTTGGGAGCACCGAAAAATGAAGATTTCGCATGTTCGGATAGAATCAAGTTCTTCATTGATCAGTCGGAAAGTTATACTTGGGATCATCGACATTATTTTGCTGTTAAGGTAAGAACCTCAATAATGGTCTCTCCAAGTTTGATCCTTGTTTCCTAGGATTTTTTTTTAATAAACTCAATATCCTCAAAAATCCACAATTACAAAATTTCCGCAAATTTCCTTGTTAGTTCGAAAGAAATCCAAAAATTCGGAGATCTATAAAAATGATATATAAAAATCCAAGAGGTTTTAAGTAGAAAAAAAACATTTAAAAATTCTGAAAATCTCAAAATATTCTGAGCATTCCAAATAAAAAAATACTAATAAATTATATTCAAAATCTCTTCTAGTGCTAAATACAATTACCGTAAACACTCTATAGAAGGCCACCCAACCCATCAACTTTGAGCTCACATATCTCGCGTCCAGTGGAAGATATTGAAAAGTGGTTAACAGATAAAATGTTTATCATAAAATTAGAAACATTTTGTTTATTGATAAAATTTTGATATCTTTTACAGGAACCACGATATGGTAGTTCAAAGTTGAAAGCTAAGGGGTCTATTAGAGTGTTTATGGTAACTCTAAATTTTCAAATCCTGAAAATTTTGAAAATGCTCAATAAGCTAAAAATGCGAGAAACGCTGAAAAACTTTAAAAATTCTGAAAATTCCCCAAATTCCGTTTTTCTGACCTGTCACTTTTTTATTGTGTACACTTCACACCCAATTTTTAGATTTTATGCATTTTTTACAACTTTCTGATATCAAAAAAAATGATCCAAAACACCCCATTTTATGCACTTTTAAACCAATTCTTTACTATTAACAATCACCAAATTCTGTGTGTGTGTGTGTGTCCGGTGTTCCCGGTTCCGGGACCCTAGCGAAGTCACCACTGGACCAAATTTTCCCAAATTTTCGCAGATAACCCGAAATAGCAGCGAGATGATGCCCGTCTATTTTGATTTGTGAAATTTTGCTTCTGACGTCTTCTGGAGACGTTTTTCTATTTCTACAGTACGTCTTCAGAAATTATATTTACGTCATTCCCGCTCAACTCCACTATTTTTTTCTTATCCAAATTATATCAGACAAAAAGACGATTTTGTGCGAATATTGGTTCAGTCTGAGTTCTGAAGATTTGAAAGGAAGAAAAAATTATGATAAGAAATTTGAAAAAAAGACAAGCTCCCTTAAAGACCAATACAAACGCCTTTAATGCAGTCTTTGAATTTATTAGGCTTTAAGTTTTAAGAAATCGAAATATTTCGAACTTTAAGAAATCAAAATCTTTCAGTGTTTTTGAATTTCCAAACTTTGCAAATTTTTTAAATGCTGAAACTATAGAAACCTGGATCTTTGAAATAATAAGTTTCCAAATTCCAAAATATGTAAATTTTAGGATTCCCAATTTCTGAGTACTCGAGCACTTCATTTCCAAATATTTGATCACCTGAATTTCTGAGTTTTTGAATTTCGGAAAATCCTAATTTCGAAATTCGGAAATTCAAAAAATCTCAAATATTTATCATTTTGAAAATAACAACAAATTAGGAATTCATGAATGCTGAAATGCAGAAATTCGAAAACTCGGAAATTCGCGAAATTCGAGAATTCTGAAGTTCAGAAAGGCAGAATCTCAAAAAAAAAAATCAGAAACCCAGAAATTCAGAAATTAAGAGTCTCAAAAACTAAAATTTCTTAAAGGGGGACTCCGACCAAAAATTTGTATTGCATTAAAATGTTTCCAAAAATATGTATGTTCCTAATATCATGGCGAAAAATTTCGAAAAAAAATCCTAAATCCCCGAAAAACGGTGTTGAAAAAACATTTCAGAAAATCCAAATTTGGTGAATCGGAAATACGAAAAACCGAAAATCGAAACTTCAGAATCCCAAAAAAAATCAGAATTTCAGAATTTCAGAATTTCAGAACTTCAGAAACTCAGAAATTTGGAATTTCAAAAAATCAGAATTTCTGAATCATGAATCCCTCAATGTCAAAATTTCTGGATTGCCGAATTTCTGATTTCTTGAAATTCTGAATTTCTGAACTTCCGAATTACTCAATTTCTCAATTTTTCAGTTTCTCAATTTCTCGATCTCTGAACTACTGAATTTCTGAACTTCCCAAGTTTCAAAATTTCTTAATTTTCAAATTTGTGAGCATAGGCCCTAAAAAATAGCCTCCGTAAAAGTGACGGAACCATTTTATAAGATTGCGGGTATCGTAAGCGAGGGCCAGGAGGTTTAGCCCCGAAGGGGCGTAAACCGACTGGTTTTTGATAAGAAAAAAATTCCAAAAATAACACTTTTTCCAGGTACCTCCCTATGGAAAAACCGGATGTGATGATACGATGCCAGAAGGAAAACCATCAGTTTTTGAGAATGTTGTGAAACGATTGAACGTTTTGACAAGGACTTTTGGCTTGGATTGACCCCCGAAAATTTTTTGAATCAAAATTTAAAATTTTGAATTCACTGACCCCAAATAGTGAAGCTTGAAACGAGTGCGACCGACCAAAAATAAATATTTACATTTATTAGAAAATCTCAAGAAAATTCAAAAGTAAAAAATATATTAAAATAAGGACTTTCAAAAAATATGAAATACTTCAAGTTTTCCTCCTAGTCGAATAAAAAAATTCAAATATTCAAATTTCAATCTTTCTTCTCATTCGGATCCTTCTCCTTGAACACCCACGGACTTTCCACTTTTTGTCCCATCAACTCGGCTGCCTTCGCTTTCTCCAGATCCTTCCGATGTTGCTGTCTCATTTCACTTTGATCTACACGATGACCGGCGGCTAGTCTGAAAAATTGGAATTTCAGAATTTCATAGTTTCAGAATTCCAACCTCATCAACGCTCTCGGCAATTCATTCTCCAGTCGTCCATAATTTGCCTCAACCATCTGGTCCATTAATGCCTTTCCTTTAGTTTCTGGTTGGAAGAAGAATCCGACGAAGATTGTTAAAACGATCATTGCCTCTGGTATCACAAATGCTCCTGTTGGCCAGTTGGAAGTTAGCAGAGGCTTCAAAATCACAAATCCGATGATGGCTCCGATGTGTCTGGAAGATAGACAAGTATTGGGCAGGTTATACAAGTTTTGGAATGATTTGGGGGAGCAACAGGCAAGTGTTGTACAAGGTGGGAGATGAGGGCAAGTTTGAAACCGATCTTGGGCAAGCGTAAAACAAGACTTGGGCGAATTTCTGAATAAGAATAAGGAGGAAGCTTTGAGCAGGCCATGGACACAAGTTGGGCACATTTTGGCAAAAAATAAGCTCCAGGCATTGCTAAGGGCAAGCCTAGTTTTGGTGCCGTGATAAGGGCAAGCTTGGAAAATGGCTTGGGCAAGTTTCAATATGTTTTGGGCAAGGTATGACCATGTTTTGGGCACTTTTGGACCAAGTTTTTGGCAAGTTTCACGCACGTTTTGGACAGGTGGCATGAACTGGAGGCACGCAAAAAACAAGTTCGGACAAGGAGCCGTGCTAAGGACAAGCTTTGGACAAGCTTTGGGCAAAAAATTCTTGAAAAAGAAGCTTCTGACATGAATGTGCCCAATGTTGCCCAATGCTTGCCCAAACATGCCCAAATTTGCCCAATATGCAAATAACCTTTGGGCAAGACTCGGGCAAATCTACATTTGAAAACTTACCTAAACGAGTGCAAGAATCCAAAAGCAATACATCTGATGACAGTAGGATAACGTTGAGTGGTGATTTGAACAATATTGATCCAGAAGATACAATCATTGATCATTGTCGCAATAATAACGAGAATAGTGACTGGTTTAGAGTCATATGTACATGTTCCAGTTGCCACTAAAGCAATGATGACACCGAAGAGAATTCCCTCGATTACTAGGGATCCGAGATATTGGATTTTACGCCCGAAACTTGGGACCATCAAATCAAAAATCACAATGATAATTGGAACAAACAATCGGAACACTCCGTCGAGGAAGGTGAACATGATGGCCGAGTCTGGAGAGTTTTGGAATGTTGAAATAATGGAAAATGTGATTTTTAAGTGAGCTACGCGGTCGACTACGTCTGAGCTTGCGACAGCGTAGAAAAAAATTTTGACAGCATAGCCCAAAATTTTGACAGCATAGCTCGAACTATCGATGGGCTATAGTTTGAGCTATCTACCACATAGCTCAAACTATAGACCGCGTAGCTCGAAATATCGACTGTGTAGCTCTTACCATGAAGTCCTGTAACTGTGAAAAGGTAGGTGTTAGAAACCATGGCGTAGGTGAGGACGGAAATGATTTGAAGGCACGATTGCTTGGCGAGACGCTTGGTGCTGAAAAGTAGAAATATGAAAATTACATAATTAAGATTTTTAAAATACCAGGATTTCCGAAACTTGCACTGTCAATAAAAGTGAAAATTCAGAAATTCGAAACTTCAGAAAAATGAAAAACGAACCTGAACAAATGATAGAACCAATAGAAACCCTGTTTCTCCTGTTTATGAATTGCCGAAATGTCCTTTGTTGTGAATCTAGCCTTCGTGTTATTCCATCTCTGATGTGCAATATCATTCAGAACATCACATGCCTGACTGAGCTCATTTCTCGCAATTAACCATCTCGGAGATTCTAAGAACAACATGAAGCCAATAGCCAATGGTGAAGAAACCAAGTTGAGGAACACAAAATACACTTGCCATCCTTTCGTCAAAAATGCGATTAATGCAGATGTCATATAAGCAATCGGCCATTGGAATGCGTTAACCATAATCACTCGATACTTATTCGATGTGAATTCTACCATCATGGTTAGTGATGTCGTTTCAATGACTCCGTAAATAAAACAATTGACACCTTGAATCGCAGCAAATGCTATCCAAGATCTAGCTGCTGTACACATCATTGAGGTGATAATGATGAGAAGTTCTCCAGTGAAGAAAATCGTTTGTCGTCCGAAATGATCTCCCATATGACCCCCGATGATGCTGCCGATGAGCTGAAAATGTTGAAATTTTAGATGAAAGTTATTTTCAGGGCATGCTTGAAAATTGGCTAAAAACTTGGCTGAAAACAGCGCGGGTCCTACCATAACTTCCGTCAGGTACAATACTTTTCGCCCACATAAATACCGTAAGCACTATAATAGAACGCCATCCGAATTGTCAAATTCGAGCCTATGTATCTCATTTTCTGTGGAAGATATCAAAAAGTAGTTAGCAAATAAAATGTTGCTGATATCATGATAAACTTTTCATTAGTTGACAATTTTTTGATATCTTTCAAAAGGAGTGAGATTAATAGGTTCAAAGTGGACGGTCTGGATGGCGTTCTATTAGAGTGTTCACGGTAAGATATAAAGGAACTCAAGAAGTCCTACAAAATGAGACTATTTGAATTATTGTATCTTGTCCATGAACAAAGTTGCAAGACCCCTAGTACAAGCCAAAAAGATTTAACGCGTAGCTCAGCCGGTTTCTGACTTGTAACTTTATTTATAGACAAAAAAGCAGTAATCCAATTAGAACCGTTTCAAAGTACTTGTCAAATTCTATGATATCTGATTGGTCTAAAAAATTTTCAATTTTCAGACCACTTTGGAATTTTTGGAATTTTTTTTTGATTTTCCTAATTGTCGCTTTTTTGAAGTTTGGGTTTTTTTTTTCTTTCTTTTCCTAATTTTGGAACTTTGTTTTTTTTTTCCAAATTTTGGAACTTTGTTTTTTTTTTTTTTTCCTAATTTTGGAACTTTGAGATTTTCGAAACAAGAATATAAGTTTTTCGTTCAAATTTTCAAAAAACAGCAGTTCTGAGAATCATAAATCGAATTCTGAAAATCAGAAAATCGAAAATTCAGATATTTCGAGGTTCGAAGATTCCGAGATTCTGAGATTTTGAGATTCTGAAATTCGAAAATTCTGAGATTCCGAAATTAGGAAATTCGGTTTCTTTTTTCTTTTTTTCAGGATTTTTTGTCGTTGTTGTTTCTACAAAACTTTCAAAAAATTTCAAACTACCGCTCACCGACGATCCAGCCATGATCACTTCAATATACTCGACCTTATCACTATCATCACAAATCAATTGAAATTGTCCGACGATTGAGAAAAATTCCAGATTTTGTTTCTGCAATAGTTTTATTTTCTGACTGTGAGAAAATAAATAAAAATCAAAACTTCTTTTCAAAAATTAAGAAATTCCAGACTTCAATTTCCAAAAAAACGCAAAATTTTTTGAATTTAATTTTAAGGAATCTAATTTTTCCAGAAAATTCTCCTCAAAAAACCTACAATCGGAGTCAAACTTTGGCAATTTTTCTTGATAAAATCGCATGTTGAATCATTGGTTGGGGCGGTGACTGAAAGTTTTTGAATTGGCGGAAAATTTGAATTTCCAAAAAAGAACTAACTTGTCTGGGTCATATTATTGGAAAGTGTACAATTCCAATCCGGTTCAAAAGAACCGAGCACATGCATAAATGTGGAATTTCCTGAAAATTTGTTTTTTTGAAAATTTTCAAAAATTTCTCGGAATTCGGATTACTGAATTCCTGAATGAATTAATTTCTAAAGTTCTGAATGTCTGAATTTCTGAGTTCCCGAATTTTTAAATCTTCGAATGTTCTAAAATATCTTATTCCAAACCAAAACTCAAAAGTTTCGCCCACTTTTTACGTCGAAACATATTTTTATCAACTCTTAAATTTTAAGATTTTTGTTTTTCTTTCTGTGGTTTCAACTTAAAGTCTTAAGACACCTATCGTCATTTCCTATTTGTCTACGCCAAACTTTTTTTTTGAAAAATTGAAATTATTAAAATTGAACTTTTCTGAAAGTCTTGAAATTTCAAAATTATCCAGTATTTGATTTTTTCTGAATTTTCCAACATTCCTGAAATATCGGATTTTCTGGAATTTTCGAATTTCCGGTGATCTGAATTTTGTAAAATTTTCATTGTTTATTGGACTTCCCGGAAATTCAGAAATAACAAAAAATCCAAATTTTGAATATGAAATTTTAGGAATTTCAGGAATTTTCATTCAAAAAGTCAGTTTTGTTGAGTCATTCTATTGAACTTGTTCCGATTATTTTTTTAAATTCCTTTGAAAATATTCCAAAATTCAGAAATTCAGAAACTCCGAAATTCGGAAATTCGGAAGTTTGAAAGTTCAGAAACTTACAATTAGAAATTTAAAAAAAAGAGAAGTTCCAGAAAAGCTTACAATTCATGAATTGTAAATTTTCGAAATGTCTAGAATACCAGAAAATTAATGAAACTTTTTAACTTTTGAAATCCCGGGACTTTTTTCAAAAATTTAGGAATTTCAGAAATTTAAGAAAATTCGAAGATCTGGAAGTTCAAAAACTCTTTCAGAAAGCCAGGTTGAAACAAAAATTGCGTAGCCAAATAGGAATGAAAATGTCCAACCCTGTTGGCCGGATCTTTTAAAATCGAAAAATCTCTAAAATCTCAAACTCACCAGCCCATTCAATCGACGCATAAAGAATGACAATGAAGCAAAAAATTTGATAGGGTCCGAATGCGTTGACCTTCTGGAGCACTTCTTCGAAATTCGTATAGAACACCACCTCCTTTTTCTCTTTCCTCTTTTTCGCAAACGTCGGTCGTCTGCCATTTTCATCGTCATTTTCATCAGAGAATACCGTATTTTTTCGAACTTTTTTTGGCAATTTTTGAATATGGTTTAACTCCATTTTTGCAAAATAGAAAAAGAGTAAAAATGATCTTGTTAGAAAAGTGTTGTGGTGATAGTTGCCAAACTTTTCTTTACGGATTAAAAGAATTAAAGTATTATACAATTTTGTGTCGTCAGTACTGATTAAAATGTCAAAATACTCACACTTGAACAACCCGGCTCTCGTCGTCGTCTGACATGTTTTATGGTCCCAAATTCCCTAGAAAAAATCAATGGAAAAACCGGAACCAAAAAATAAGTGTCTAAAACTGAAAATCGAAAAAATGCTCGTAAAAGTTTTTGTACATGTTATCATTTTCTTTCCCTCTTCTCCTTCTCTATCGTTGTCTTTTTTGGTGTCGGTTGGTTGGCAAATGCAATTTGCTGCCAATTGATAAAAGAGCCATTCAGCCAACCACGCTGTAAATTTTCAAATGCGTAATATATAATGTATAGGTGTGTGCATCTGAACTGTGTGAAATTATCGTTTTAAGAAAATGGCTCATTAGAGGCTTTTGGGACAAGGGAACATCCATTAAAAAATTTTTGAATTTCCGAAAATCTGAAAACTAGATGGAAGTTCAAATTTAGCGCTTTGAGAGCTTTAAAATGAGCATAAACACGACTAGGTTCCGCCCATTTTAGTTTTCCAGTTTAAAGGCGCACAGGGGTCCAGGAATGGAAAAATTGGGAAGTAGGTCATGTTTATACTCATTTTAAAGCTGAAAATGCATAAAAATTATAACAACAGAATTGTAGACATAACTATTAAATTTTAAAAATCTGAATTTTTTAAAATCTGATTTTTAGATTCCAGAGTATTTTCTGGATTTGTGATTTCCAGTTTTTTTAAAAGATTGTTGTTGTCAAATTCAAAAATCAAAAATTGAAATTTTAAATATCAGTATCTTTGAGTTTCAGCGCTTTGGGAACATTTTTCATCGTTTCAGTATATTCGGGATGTTTGAAATTTTGAAAATGTCAAGATTTTGAAATTTTCAAATTTTTGGAATTTCCCCGATTTCTCTTTTTTCCCAGATTTACTTTGTTTCTTCCAACCTCTAGGGTCTCTAGATTCCACTGAAAAATCTAATTTCTAGGATTTTCTCAAAGTTTGAACTTTCAAGTTGCCAGAAAAATCTGGAATTCTAAATTTCAGAATTTTCAGATTTTCCGGATATTCGAATTTCCTTGAATTGTTGAAGTTTGAATTCCTGAACTTTCCGGGAATTCGAAGTTATATGAAACTTTCAAATTCCCGGAATTCTCGAAGTGTCTGAGTTTTCTCGATTTTTCGAAATTCCGGAAATTCAATGGAATCTCAAACTTTTCGGAATTTTTGAAGTCCTGTAGTCAAGAACTAAAGAGTACAAAAAATTTAAAAATTTTTTCTTTTTTAATTCAATTTTTCAGTTTTTCCAGATTTTCAGATTCCCATAACCAGTTCCAGACATCACCATCAAAAAAATGCGATTGCTCCCAATTCTTTGATTGCCGTCCAAATCAGGAAAACTGATAAAAAACGACAATTCACCACGTTTTACCATCCATTTCTCTCCGCCTCTTCTGTTTCCTTCTTTTTTCCGCTTTTAATAATAGAAAATTGAGGTCAAAAGCAGATAAGAAAGTTGTTACGTGGTTATTTTGGGCTGTTTTTAATACTAGGTATGGGGAATGGATTGGACTGTAGAAACAAGCAGTTCAGAGTTTATGTTTTTAACTCTAATAAAAAACTTTGAAACTCGGATGGTTCAATGAAAATCGAAAAAAAAATCATTGCAAAATCAGGACCCGGCCCGGCGGACCCGGGGTTTCCAAATTTGGAGAAAAATTTGAAATTTCAGAAATTTTTTGTCCATTTTCATTTTAATTTAATTGTCCATTTTTTTCTGTTGATCCCAAAAAATTTTTTCGAAAAGACAGAAAAATTATTCCGGGCCGAGACGGGCCCTGGCCGGGCTGGGCCCTGAAAATTTTGAAAAAAGCCCGACCCGGCCCGTTGCAAGTATGAAAAAAATTCAGAAATGCCGAGCCACCCGATTCTTAGCTTAATTATCTTGGTTCCTGTAAGAGATATCAAAAATCTGTCAACTGATAAATTGTTTGTCATAATACCACCAACAATTTTGTAGTTTGTAGTTTTTTGGTATCTTTAGTAGATATGGAGATAATTGAGCTCACAGTTCAAGGATTCCTACCAGGCACTTCAAGGGACATTTCCTAATATTATCGAATACAACGAAAAAAGAAAAAAAACTCCAGAAATCCCCAAAAGCCAAAAAGAATCTTTCGAGAACAATTACAATTACAAAAAAAAACGAAAAAAGAATTTCGATCAGGATGAGATTCGAACTCACGCGGGGAAACCCCAATGGATTAGCAGTCCATCGCCTTAACCACTCGGCCACCTGATCACGTTTGAAAGGGAACAACAACGCAAACAGGATTGTTTGTGTGTGTGTGCCTCCTTTCTTTCTCTTTGTTTCTCTAGAGTCTCTTTTGGTTTAGTAGGAAAAGAAGGAGACTATGGCAAAGAAGGAAAAGGACTTTGTATTTCAGGCGCTTATTCTTAGATTCTTAGATTTTTAGATTCTTAATTTCTGAATTTTCTTACAATCAGTTTTGAATTATCAATCTTCTTGTTTTCAGAAGTTTTGTGAAGATTCCGAAGTTTAGTTTTCTACTAACCATCAAAAACTATATTTTCAAATTTCACAACCTTCATTTTTCTATTAATTTTTTAAATATATTTTTCAATTTCTAGATTGAAGAATTTTTCAAAAAAAAATTTAAATTTAATCCGTGACCCCTCCTCAAGTTTTTCCCTCTATCTTGCCCTACATCTTTCCTTCTTTCCCTATAAAACCCATCGAAATTTGCATAAATTTTCACAATTCTGAGCTCCAAGAGCAACCAACCAGAACCCAATCTAAAAATGGCGGACAAATCGGCGTACATGTCGGCTGGAGGATATAGCTCCGGTTATATGGGATCGAATGCTTCCTCATCTGGATACGCTCGCGAGGATTATGCTTCTGGAGGATCGGGAGGAGGCGGAGCCAATAATCAACAATCGGGAGGAACTATCTCCAAAAAAAAAAAAAAAAAAAATCTAAGAATCTAAGAATCTAAGAATCTAAGAATCTAAGAATCTAAGAATCTAAGAATTCTGCCAACTTCTCAGTTTTCGAATTTCTGAATTATCTGTATTTCTTTTTCGTCTTCCAATCGATTTCAGAGTACAGTATCTTTGATCTCCCCAATTCAAAAAACATCGAAACCGAAATTACTCATTTTTCGAATGATGGCTACACGGAAACACAAAAAGATCGAAATCGAACAAAAAAAACGGTTAATCCGTCAACTCGACAACTACAAAATCCGGCCGAATTAATTTTTTTCACATGATCAAAAACAAAAATTTGTCCCGTTTTCCCTTTTTTCAGTTTCAAATTTTCTATTTCCGCCTAGAAAAAAACAGAATGCGTCAAGTTTTGGCGCTTTTTCTCGTTTTAGCTTTTTTGGCTGAAAATGGAAACTGTGCTAAAAACGACACCTTGGAAATGGAATTGGGTAAGTTTTTTTCTGAAAATCCGACTTTTTTGCTGTTCTTGTCTAAACTTTGATATTTTTTATGTTATCGAGACTTCAGAGAGTTTTCATTTGGAACACGATTTTCTTCAAAAATACCTGACCTTGAAAAAAAAATTAACAAACTGAAAATCATTCAAAACGGACCATTTTGAGCTGAGATACAACCATTTGAATTTCGGAGGCTATTTACGCAGACACTCCCGTTTCTCTGCGCTCTCGCCAGCTTCAAATTTGTATAACTCGCTTCGAATTTGAGCTAGAAAATTGATTATTAGCATGTTTGTCAGGAAATTTCAAAGCGATCATTTTCATATATAACTTCCAGAATCGAACATAACCGTTGTCAAGTTGGAGCATGGGTTGAAATTCGCTGCTCATTCCGAATTCGGACTTCCGGACAACATGACAGACTTGTTCAACTCAACAGCTGACGACCCAGAAGGTGTTCAGATTGAAATTCGTCAAACTATTATTTTGCGAAATAGAAATAAGACAGGTTAAACATTGCGAAACTGACTTTTTTGAATTTTTTGGCTTTTTGAGCATTAAGAAGAGCACGAAATGACAAGAGTTAGTTGACTAGAATTCTTTAATTTTTGGGATTTCACAAATTTTCGTATTTCTGAATTTTTAAAGTTCTAGAGATAATGATTTTTTTCGGTCTTTCAAAATACCATAATATTATTTCCTCTAATAGAAGTCTAGTCAAACATTCAACTTTGAGATCAATTATCTCGGTTGCTATGAGAGATATGAAACATTTGTCGATTGATAAAACATTGGGGACAATATGAAAATTAATTTATCAGTTCATCACTTTTTGATATCTCTCATAGGAACTGAGATATTTAAGCTCAAAAGTTGACGGTTTGGGTAGTCTTCGTAGTCTTTAGAGGAAATACGGTCTCAGAAATTTCATGAGTATTTTGAAGTAGACTCCTAATTATCGAGTTCAAATTAATTACCCTAAATAATTATCATTTTTTCAGGATCCAAAAATTCGTCCCTTCCTGTCAACCTAGATTACGTCCGTGCTCGGAGAAGTAATAAAGATGGTGAGGTATTTTTTAAATTTTTCGAAAATCTGAAAATCTAACACTTCTCTTAAATTTCAGATAACTCTAGCAGCTCAGAAAAAAGCGACAACCACCACAAAAAAGGTCATAAAAGCCACCACAAAAAAAGCGACCAAAAAAGTGACCAAGAAAAAGACGACCCCAAAAAAGAAGGTGACAACAAAGAAGCCAAAAACGACGACAAAAAAACCAAAGGTGACGACGAAAAAAATGCTAAAAACGACGACAAAAAAGAAGGGAACAACGAAAAAGAATCAGAAAAAAACGACGAAAAAAAGTCAGAAAACGACGACAAAAATTCCCGAGCATCCACCAGCACAAACACCACAGCATTGGGTTCCCAACACGGTGAGAGAACTTTTAGGGTTTTTTGATTACTGTAGAGGGAATTCGGGTTTCTATAGGTAAATAATGTTTTAAAGGTTAAAACCAATTGATCGAAAGTTCCGATGTTTGAACTTTTTTGAGCTTTAGGAAATTCTAAATTTCCAAAAAATTCAGACATTCAGAAATTCGGAAACTCAGAAACTCTGAAATTCAGAAATTCTCAAACTCAAAATTTCTGAGATTCCGAGATTCTGAAATTCTAAGATTCTGAGATCCTGAGATCCTAAAATTCCGAGATTCTGAGATTCTGAAATTCTGAAATTCTGAAATTTTGAGATTCTGAGATTTTGAGATTCTGCGATTTTGAGATTCTGAAATTCTGAGATTCGAACAAAAAAAGCAAAGCCAGAGAATTTAGAAACTCAGACATTCAGAAAATTATCATAATCAAAAAAAACGTGGCCTAACTCCCCAAATGTTTCCCAGGCCACCACTCTTCCTTTACTAATTCCAGGCCACCCCTAACATATACTAACACTTCAGGGTGTGGCCAAATTCTTCGCGAAACTTCTGACATCTGGATCAACGAAACAATACGAAACCGTGCTTGCCACAATCTCGAAAATTCCAGAAACTATTGAAATTGTAAATTTCATTTGAATATCAAAATATTGGAAATTCCAAGAAAGATTCGCAAAATTCCTAATTACCCTCCAATTAACTAATTACCCAGAAAAAATTCCAATTTTTAATTTTCAGAGGGGACCACCAGGGTTCCCGGATCACCGGGACCCAGACGGGAAACAATGGCCGATTCCAACAACGACAACTCGACGAATGTTCGTGATGTATGAAGATGATGACCTGGTCAAAAAGAATGCCGAAAAAGAAAATAAACCAAAAAATGATTTTAAAAATGACCGAGATTTTGATGATTCTGATTCTAAAGAGTGGCGTTCTGATTGAGTTGTTTAATGAAGTTTTTCTATTTTTTGTTAGTTTTAAGTTTAGATTTTCAGGAATTTTCAGAAGAACTTCAAGATTTTGTTAAAATGAGAAAAATTATGGAGACCAAAATTCATTCAAGTTCTTTGACAGATTTTTTAAATAAATTCAAATTTTATGCCAATTCGCCAGGACCAGAATAATTGAGATGACGATGAAGAAGACAAAAATGAAGATGGCAAGAGTGGCGAGTCTGAAACTTTCCAGAATTCTCATTTTTCAATTTTTTGAGTTTTTTTGAGCCTTTTAGAATATTAGGGTTCTGAAGTTTCGTAGAATTTTAGACGTTCCAATGTTTATAAATTCTCACCTTGTCTGCATTTTGACGTACCATGATTTTCGGATTGTTGGCGGCGGAGTCAGTGGGTCTCCGTAAGATGGTCTGAAAGTTTTTTCTGTTTAAAGAAACCAATAACATGTTTCTCAAAACGGTTTCAGATTTTTTTACCTGAAAAAAGCCATCAACTACCCGAGTACATTCATTTTCCATTTTCAGAAAAACAATTGAAAATTGCAGATTCTCAAAAACTTTTTAACGAAAAAAACCCAGAAAGTTTTCAGACAAAAAAACTAATGAGCACATTTAGTTGTTTTTTTTTCAATAAAAAACCACAAGATTACCAAGAACGAATGTGCTTTTTTGAAAGAAAAAAAGAGGATAAATCATGAAAATAATTTTGGATAAGCTGACTTGGAAACAAAAGGATTTGGAGTATGAAAATTCCAGAATTTTAGAATCTAAGATGTTCAGAATCTTCAAATTTCCGCATTTTCAAAATTTCAGAATTTCAGAGTTTTCAAAATCGGGAATCTCGAAATCTCAGATGTTCAGACTCTTTGAATCTCAGAATGTAAGAGCTTAGAAAAAAGAATTAGAATAAAAAATAAGTTTTGCCTGGAACCTCAAAAAATCGATTTCCTATTTTTCCAAAAGAAAATTTTAAGTGACCAAGAAATCTATATTTTCTACATTTCTGAGCGATCTCCTCCTACCTGTCGAAAAACGAATTTCTATCCAAAATTGGATTATTTACAGAGGAATTCATATCAGTTCTAGACATCTGATTATAGATTTTTGGCCTTATTCTCCCCAGCCAAACAAAAGTGGGCGGAGCCTAAACAGACGAAGAAAGTTTCACAGAGTGCAGTGGTCGGTCGGTAATAACAGATTAGCTTCATGCATTGAGCTCAAAAAATTGAAGAGCACGTGTTCGAAAAAATATATACATATGCATAGACGAATTAGAAATTGTTTCGTCTGTCTGGGAAATGCATTCTTGGGATTTATATAGGGATTAGATATTTTCGTTGAAAAATATTTTTTAAAAATTCCAAGAACATCGATTTCAGCGTTTACAGAAAAACTGAAATTTCAGAAAAAAAGTTTTCAATTTCGAGATCAGTTTTTTTCTAATTGTCGTTTTTATTTTTAGATCCAAATTTGGATTCCAAACTTTATTTCCCCAGGGACTGGAAAATAAGTTCAATAAACCTGAAAATCGGAAGTTTTCTCATGATTTCACATTTTACCTGTTTCTAATAAGTCTGTGAAAAAATGAAGATGAAAAAACTGTCTACGAAAAAAACTTTTAGAATAACAAACTACGAAAAATGACGAATTTCTTAGATTCTCTGATAATTTTTGAAATTCTACACTTTAAAAAGTTTTTTGAAAATCTTGGCATTTCTGAGACTTGTTTTATGGAATTTTGAGTAACTAACATTTTTCGCTTCCGGGATTCCTGGAATTTCAGATTTTTTTTAAGCTACGAACTTTGCTGGAATTTCAAAAAGTTCAAACTTCCCGAAGCGAATTCTGGTGAAAAATTTAAATTTTTTGAAATTTCTGACTTACTTTGAAATTTTCTAAAAAACTTCTCGAATCTTCAAAATTTTAAAAGAGTCTGAATTAAGGCTCCCATTTCGGTCGGTCGAAAATCGCCGACAGCCGTCCGAGCTGACCGATCGGTCGGCGCGTTGACCGATTTCGTGCATTTGCGCATCAAATTAAGATTGTTTGTGAACAAAGCATTTTATTTTACGACAAACGAGGCATATAGTGAACAGTTTGTCGTAAAATACAAACACGTTGACGCGCAACTGCACGAAAACAGTCGGCGCACCGACCGATCAGTCAGCTCGATCGGCTGTCGGTCGGCGGGGTCGATGGTCGGTCGGTCGGCTAAATTTCCCGACCGAATGGAAGCCTTAGTCTGAAATGCAAAATTCTCGAATTTTCGAAATTTCAAAAAATTCCGAATATCCATGATTTCCAGATTTTTTGAAACAAAAAAAAACTCGCATTGATCCGGAAATGGTGATATCAAAATCCAAACTGTCCTCGTCATCGCTCATTTTTTCCTGTAGAAAAAAATTCCAGAATTTCCAGAATTTTCAGCCAAATTTTCTAAATTTATTTCATCCGGTGTGCCTGAAATCATTTTTTTTTTCAAAAAATAAAAGTTTGTCTTCTGAGCCAAAAATTCCACAAGAATCAAAAAAATATGAAGAATTGAAGAAATCCGAATATTCATAAAAATTGAAAATGTAATGTTCTGACATTTTTAAAATCCGAATTCCAAAATTTGTAATCTCTCAAATTCTCGATTTCTGAAACTCTGAAATTCAGAAATTCGGAAATTCGAAAACCAAAAAAATCCAGACAACGAAAGTGTAAAAGAAGAGTAAAATGAACACATTTTTCCTTTCTTATCGCATTTTTTTTTGGTTTTTGATGAGATTTCAATGGGACAAGGCATACAAATGAGGGACGCAAAATTTGATTTGTTTCCGAAAAAAAATTTTATAGAGGAAAAAGGAAAAATCGAACAAAAGTTCCCAGGAAAAAATATATGATGATGGAGAAGGAAAAACCTAAGTTTGTGAAGTTTGGGAAATACCGTAAAACATGTATTAGAAGGACCCCTTTAATAGAAGAGTCCCTCTAATAGAAGGGTCTCCGAGAGAGGCTTGGAAAAATAGAAAGGCTCCCTGTAATAAAAGGACCCCCGTTATAGAAAGGCCTTCCAGTAAAGAAGGACCCCCTTTAAAATATGTCTTGAATTTTCAAAATTTCAGTCCGTTTTCAGCGAAAAATATTCCGGGAATTCCACGATTTAAAAGAAATTCGTTGAAACACTTTTTTCTGTTTCAAAAAAACTTGCTCAATGTTTGTGAAATTGACAGATTTTCATGAATTTTGAACAAAAATTCGTCGAATTTTTCGATGAAAAATTTCCGGAAAAAATGACCGCAAAAATAAAAGGGTCCCCTCTAATTGAAGGGCTCTTCGGAGGGGTTTTGTAAAAATAGAAGGACCGGCCCTTCTAATACAGGTTTTACGGTAGGCACATCCTACAAATGGAAAAAAAAGAAATGTTTCGAAAAATGAAAAAATTGCGAAAAAGTAATTCATCAAGTTGTTCCAAAACGAATTGACCAAGTATTCCTTCCTCTTTTTTTCTCTTTTTGCTCAGTGAAAAAAATTTTCTGTGTGCTCATCAACAAAGTTTCTTCTTCTCCTTCCTCTTCTTATTTTTTTTTCGAACTGACAACTTTTGGCGCCTCTTATTTTTGCCTATTGGGGATTTCTGAAAAAAGAAGAAGAAGAAGCTCTTTTGCTTCTTTTTTCTGAATGTTTTCATCATGGAAATGTTTGAAAAGGAAGAAGGAAATTTTCCTGCTTAACGCCATCAGAAAAAAAAGTCAAGAGGAAACGGAAAATTTGTTTTTTGACGGTAAAGAAAATTTTGAGAGAACAGGACAAGTTTCAGAAATAAATTATGCTGAAAATGGGGAAACTCTTGCAGGATTTTGAAAAATTGCTTTTTAAAAAGTTCAAAAATTTTGAAGATTCTGAAATTTCTTTTCTCCCCGGGTACTGGAGCCCAGGTGCTGAAGCCTGGGTGCTGGAGCCCGAGTTTTAAGATTTTCCGAATTTCTGAATTTCTGAATCCTCATCTTCACGAAAATCTGTAGTTTCAGTAAAATTTTAGAAATTCGAAGAAACCCAAAAAGTCTGAAAATGCAGAAAATCCTAAGTTTCCAAAGATCCAAGATTTTAAAGTTTTCGAAATTTTAAAAATATTAGAATTTCGAATTTCTGAAATTTCCGAATTTGTGAAACTCTGAATTTTCAAAGTTTAGAGTTTCAGAAATTGGGAAGTAGGAAAATGCAAAAAATCAGAATCTCAAAATCTAAAGTTTTCGTGATTTTTCAAAGTTATACGATTTTTTTCAAAAAATAATACAACTAGCTAAAAAAGTCAAAGCTCATTTTGCATATGTCTTATTCTCCGGGTACTCATAACCCATAAAAATTTTCTCGTTTTGAGACATATCAAAAATTGGACCATAAAACTTGAATTGAGCAAAAATTTTATTTTTTTTTTGGGACAAATGTGGTAAAAAATGAAAAATATGATTCATCTAGATGTTTTCAAATGCAATTTGAGTGACGAAAACAATAATTGATGGGCGGAAATAAGATAAGCCTAAAAAAATCCCGTTGGATGATCTGAAAATTCAACTGAGTCATAGAGAATTATTGGGGCGATGAAAAAAAACAAATAGAACGGATCAACTCAGAAATTTTGAAAGAAAAATTTGAAATTTTGAGAAATTGGCTTTAAAAAACCCTGAAAATTTTTTTAATTTTCTATTTTTGTTTCAATAGTCTCAAATTTCTGACCATCGGAAACTTCCTTTCCCTTTGTTCAACTTCCTCTGATTTCACTTAGTTCGATAAATTCATATAATTAAGAAATAGTATTGAAAATGAAGAGACGGTAAACAAAATGGTGGAGATCTTTAGACATGAACACTTTTCTTTTGGGTATAAAAAGATGGGGAAAATTACAAGACAGAATTTTTGTGATCAGATCAGAAAGTCAGAGAATTCGAAATGCGATTTATTTGGATTCTATTCTTGATTTTTGCGGGCAAATTTGGAAGGTGAGAAACTTTGAAATTCTGAAATTCCAAGAAATTAAAAGTTCCAAAATTCATAAACTAGGTATGCAAAGAATAACAAATTCGAAAATTCAAAAAGTCGAAAATTCTGAATTTCGGAAAATCTGGAATTTGGAAAAGAAAAATTCCATAAATCTCACAATTTCATCTCGAATTTTTTGAAAATCAATAAAATTCCAAAAAAGACAGATTTTCAAAGAAAAGTTAATAATCCAAAGTTTGAGTCTTTCACATGACGACGTACAGTATGAACACCATAAAATGTGGAAAGGATCTTATAAAAGGGGGCGGAACTTCACAAAAGAATTCCCTGACAGTATTCTTCCCAACGAAACACCATATCCTCAAAAAGGATTGTCCATTAAAATGAACACATGTTTTTTTGCCTAATCTAACAATTTTTGAAAAAAATTTCAGTGCCCAATTCAACGATTACGGACCTCCACCCCCTCCACCAAGAGGTTTTGTGATCTTTCAATTTTTAAAAGATTTCTCTCTTCTAAGAAAGAGACGGAGAAGAATATAAATATCCAGGCAGAAAAAGTGAGCTATCCAGCTTACGTCAAGCTTTTGTTACAGTACTTTTGCCGCAGAAATGTCCGAAAAGTACTTGAATGATGCAGAAAATCACCAAAACAGGGTTTCTGCTAAGATTTTCCAGAATCATGATGATAATTCTATTTCTATCCATCGGGAAAAGTCTCTGGAAAATTCGTATCAAGGATTACTATCATCAGTATATAATCTGGACAGTACGTCCTATAGACATACCGTAAACATTAATAGACCACCACTCAAAGTTTGATCCTATTTATCTCCTTCTCTCTGAAAGATATCAAAAAGTGATCAACTGATAAAACACTTTTGACATTATGATGGACATTTTATTAGTTGTCCACTTTTTATATCTTTTACAGGAAGCAAGATATATAAGTTTGAAGTTGGCGTTTCGATTTTCCTTCGCCCTGATTTTTGTTATCACCGAAAATCAAAATTTGTCATTATCTGAAAAATCAGAAAACAGTAAATTTTTTAATGCAAAACAATCAGTTTTATGTGTTTTGAACCAATTTCTACATGACAAAAAATGGGAAAAATCAGATTTTTCATTCGGAGGGAACCGAAAATAAATATGATTATGTATAGTTGTTGACTATTTTCAGAGTTTTTTGGGAGAGATCTCGAGTATTTTATTACGCAGGTAACATGCAGGTTTTTGATTTTTTTGTTTTTTAATAAGATTTTTTTCTTTCTATTTGGGTCCCAGATTGGGTATTAAAATGGCTCAAGATAGTTTTGAAAATTGAATGAAAAATTGACTGATTCTCTCAATTTTATATTAATTTCTCATTTTCTAACTTTTTTAAACCAAAATTCAATAAACGAAATTCAAAACTTTTTTGAAACTGCGAAATGCCAAAATTGGAAAATTTAAGATAATTTCTAGACATAGTATTCCGGGATAGTTTGAAGGTTTTGCAATTCTGAAATTCCGACATAGAAGGGTCCCTTTAGTAGAAGGGCCCTTCTGATAGAAGGACCCTCCAAGAGAGACACGGAAAAATAGAAGAGCCCCTCTAATAAAAGGGCCCCTTTCAAAATGTGTTGTTTGAAATTTAAAGTTTTCTTACGCTTTCAGTGAAACTCTGGAAAATCCCAAACTTCTGGAAAATCCAAAATTTCACAGAAATTTGTTGAAACACTTTTTTCTGCTAAAAACTTCTCCTGGAATAGAAGGACCCTCCGGAGGGAAGTACCCTGAAACAATGGAATGGCCGTGCCTTCTAATACAGGTTATGGTATTCAGAAATTTCCTGAAAACTCTGAATTTCCAAATTTCTGACAAGTTTCTCAGCTTGACCCTTCATCTGAATCCCCAATTTTGCTCAATTATTTTTCCAAATTCCTGCAAAAAATTTAATTTCCTTGAAAAATTGAATTTTGCGTCATCTGACTATTCTTGAGCATTCTCGACTTCTAAATTTCTTGATTTTCACAACCTTTGGACTCATTTTCTCCTAATTTCAGACATATGATTCATAAATTCTATGCCACCCACCTGCTGATTTTTTCATTCAATCAATCAAAAAAAATGTCGCTTTAATCAAATTTTCAGGGTCCCCTTCCTCCCCTCCCTCGTGGATTTTTCTCCTTTTTTTCTCAGAAAAATTGGTCAAAAAGTCACACTTTTCATATAAAATTAGGTGCATATTCAGGTTTCAACTTAACAATTTTTTTTTCTCAAAAATTTGTTCTGAACTCATTGCTCATTTTTCAAGCATTCATTCAAAATGTCTGAAATCAACGAGATCATCTTCTCTGATAAGTATACCAAAGATTATGATAAGGTATTTGTTTTTAGGTAATTAAGAATGATTCTGAAATTTCCAGACATTCATTATTTTGTACATTGTTGAAGGATTATTTATCATTTTGGCCAATTTATTTTTAACAATTCGACTTTTCACAAATCGACAATTGAGAGCGCAGAAGGAGTAAGTTTCATAGTTGCAAGCGGGCCGGCCCGGGCAGTTGGCGACCGGCTGATAACTTGTCTCTAAAACGAGATATTCAGACGGTTTTGGTACCAAATGGTAGATCTCGACTGGGCCCATCACGCCAGGCCTGATTCCATTTCGGTAGCATGCCGCAACCTGGGCTTGAATAACAATTTTCGACCAACTTGGCAGAAAGCAAATTTTTGTCATTCAACCCCAGGTTGCGGCATGTTACCGAAATGGAATCAGGCCCTGAATGATATCTGGAAATTATAAATTTTTTTTCAAATTTTTAAAATTCATCCAAGTTTCTAAAAGTATTTTTTTTATTTGCGAATTTTCTTTGATCTTGTCAAATTTTATGGTTTTACTAAATTTCTGAATTTTCGAGTTTTGTTTCTGAATTCCAGAATCTTTCGATTTTCGGAAGTTTTTGAGATTTCGAGTTTTTTTTAAATTTCTATTTTTCAGATTTGTCGTAATTGGAGCCTGTTTATTTTTCGATGTCATTTTTGGAATCACTTATTTTAGCGCCGGTGTTTACAGAGCGATTTTGGTTTTCCTATATGACAGTGAGTTCTGCTTCAAATTATCTCATTTCCTGTGAAAGATATCAAAAAGTGGTCAACTGATAAAATATTTATCTTAATTTCGATAATATTTTTTCTGTTGACTAAAGTTTGATATCCCTTACAAAAAGCGAGATAATTTAGGTCAACGTTGAGAGAACACCAAGGCATTTGTGTCATTTTTTGAACAATTTTTTTCAAGAACAAACAAAACAATTTTAATCTATTCAACAAATTTATATTTTAGGATTTCCGTTGGTATCAATGTGGGATTGTTTTCTGACAATTCATAACCAGTTTTTCATAATTGTCACAATTATGGCTGGAATTATCCTAGTTTTTACTGCTATCGATCGATTTATATGTGTATTTTTCCCATTTGTATACATAAAACTACATGTGGAATATGCTTATATGCTCATGTTTTTACCGTATCTCATAATTATCCCATTATGGATTCCAGGGGCAATTGGAGCCCATGATAATCCTGTGGTTAGAAATGTAAGTTGAAATTTTGGAAATTGGAAATGTCCAAAGAAATTTAGAAATTCAGAAATTCTGAGATTCTGAAATTCTGAGATTCTGAGATTCTGAGATTCTTAGATTCTTAAACGCTGCGGTTTTAAATTTTTTTTCAATTTCTTGTGATATCTGAATTCCTAAATTTCTGAAATTCTGAAATTCCCCATTTTTCCTTATTTCAGTTCACCATGAATTGTCTAATGAATCAAGCTCTGACTGTCAATTTTTACGTTCTCTATCGAACGATTCGAATTGTTTCTTCAATTTCTTGTGTATTTATTTATCTGCCGATTTTCGTCAAGATGTGTGTGGTAAGTTTTTTTTCTAAAAATTTCTAAAACTCTTTTCACATATTCAAGCGAACTCAGAGTATCTACAATCATACGAAAATTGCTCCGGGGTCGACAAAAAATGGGAAAAGGCTGTTAAGTATGACAAAAACGGTGGCAATGATTACTGGAAGTACAATTTGCTTGTTTACTGTTCCCGATTTAATTACTTATTTTTCACCGTTTATCAATTCAAATGCAATGTATTTGATGAACTTGAATAAGGTGAGTTTTGAGCTTAAAATCTTGAGAAAAAGAATTTTTTGTATGAAAATTAGAACATTGAGTACTGCTTGTAAAATGTTTTTGAAACTTCTCAAACTCGGGTCCCAGGCAATTTCAATTTTTCAAATTTGATGAATTTTCAATCTCTGATCTTTTGAATTTCAAGTTTTGTGTTTCCTGGGATTTTATAGCTTTCTGATTTTCATAGATTTTCAGAATTTCCACACTTCTGAAAAATTTTTAATTTCTCATTTTTTTAAAACTTCGAATTTTCTGAATTCTCAAATTTCCAGACATTTTCAGCTCCCAGAAGTTTCTGAAATACCGTAAAGTCTGTATTAGAAGGGTCCCTTCAATAGAAGGGCCCCTCTAATAGAAGCGTCCTTCAAGAGGGGCTTGAGAAAATAGAAGGGCCCCCTATAATAGAAGGGCCCCCGTAATAGAAGGGCCCTCTGTGAAAAAGGACAACCCTTCCAAATGTGTTTTGAAATCAGAAAATTTCCCTACTTTTTCAGTGGAAAATATTCCGGGAAATCCACAATTCAATAGAAATTTGTTGAAATTTGTTGAAAATTTTTCGATGAAAATCTTGCTCATTTTTCGTGAAATTGGCAGATTTTAGTGAATTTTGAACAAAACTTTGTCAAATTTTTCGATGCAAATTTTCGGAAAGAAATGGTTGGAAAAATAGAAGCCCCCCCCCCCTAATTGAAGGGCCCTCCTGAGGTACCTTGGAACAATAGAAGAACCGGCTCTTCTAATACAGGTTTTACGGTATTTCTAATTTTTCTAATTTTCAGGGTTTAGTAAACCTAATAATCTTCCTCACCACACAAAAATGTCTCCGGGACCTAATGTTCCCAAGATCTGCTCGAAAGGTAAATTTTCCAAATTTTCAGACAATTTTAGAAAAATTACAGACATCAGCGATGCTGCCCTCACGAACCACAAGAACCAATCACACGATGATTTTTTGATTTCTCTTTTATTTTTATTTTTCTGAATTTGATTGTTTAAATATGTTGAAATATGAAAATTAGTTTTTGATATAAAAATTTTTAAAAATGACAAATTAAGTTATTTTTTGAAAGCCACGTGAGTTCCATCTCCCAAATTCAGAAGAGCTGATCTGGTTCTTTGATCCTGGAAGATGATGTCGTTGGTGGCGTGAATAGCAGCATTTGAGGGATCTTCACGACACTTTGGATCAGCCACTTTTCCGCCGCGAAGACTCTAAAAACTTATTAAATTTTTAAAAATCGAATTTTGGAATCTCTATGTAATTCCGATTTTCGAAAAAATTGAAATTTTCGGGTTTTCGGAACATTTAAAAATTTCTGGATGTTCCGAATCCTTTAAAACCGGGATTGTCCGAAATTAAAAATTTCCGTACGTTTTCAATACAATTATATTCCGGAAGTTCCACAAGTTCCCAGAAATTCGCTAAAATACTATATTCTGTTCAAAAACTTTCTGAATATTTGTGAAATTGATAGATTTTCATGAATTTTGAACCAAAATTCGTAGACTTTTTTGATGAAAAATTTCTGAAAAAATGATCGGAAAACTAAAAAGGCTTCTTCTAATTGAAGCGCCCTTCTAATAGAAAAGCCCTCCGTAGGTACTTGGAAAAATAAAAAGGCCGGCCCTTCTAATACAGTTTTCACGGTCTTCCGAACTTTCGAACATCGGAAACTTTGCGAAATATTGGAATATTCCGAATTTCTAAATATCGAATTTCCGGGATCTCGGAACATTTCGAAATTCGGGAATGCAGAGAATCGGAATCTCGGAATATTCCGAGGTTTTAAAAATCGGCCCCTCACACTCCTGGCTCCACCAAAAATACGGATTAACTTTCTCTCTTCTCGGCCACCGAACTCACATTGTCAACCAAAATCACACCTCCACTTCTAAGAAGGGTCACACACTTCTCATAATAGGCCGGGTAACTTGTCTTGTCAGCATCGATGAATGCGAAATCAAAGGTTCCAGATTGGCCATCGGCAATCAGTTTGTCTGGAAATTCAAACTCCTGCACCCGTCACGCAAAATGCACAATATTTGAAAGGCAAATATTTGGGAGGGTACAGAAATTTAGTATTAGAGGTACAAAATACTCAATTCGGGGTTAGAAAATACCTGAAAATTTTATAATTTTGTACTCATGATTTGTGGATTTTGAACCCCTAAATCACTTTGTTCTTCCTTGTACCTCACAATTGTTAGAATCATTAGACCCTCCAAAAAAGGTGCCCTTTTGAAAGTGGAATTCAAAAACCCACCCAAACTATCCACAGCTGCTCCCTCCACAGGCTTGATTTTTGCGAACGTCTTTTGATCCTTGGACAAGATTGGAACTCCGTATTTCTTATAATTTGTATGGTCAATATCAAATGTATAAACCTCTCCATCATCCGGAACAGCCAATGCCCATGCCAATGCGGATGCTCCTGTATAGGTACCAATGTCCAGGACACGCTTTCCTCCGAAGGATTGGATGAAATGTTGACCGAAAGTTAGAACTTCTGGAGCTCCAAGCATTCCACCCATTGGAGCATTCGTAAGGGTTTCTTTTTGAAGTTCCACTTGGAGTGGAGTCAGGATCGCGGTGTGCTGAAAAAAAGGAATATGGAGATTTTCAAAATTTCTGAATTTCTCTATTTTAAAAAAACCAACCTCAGAACAATAAGCGACTACTGGATCGGCATTCTTGTTATAGCTCTTCGCAACCACTGAAGACATTTTTGGCGCCAAAATATTTATTTTCTAATTTTCAAAAAAATCAACCACAACACCTCTATTTATATCATTCAATCTGTTCAATGGCCTACGTGATTCAATCCCTGCGTCTCCTCCACTCCCTCACTCTCTCCGCCTGCGTCTCTCTTATTGCAACTGAACTTTTGGAATGATCTCAGAGTTCCGCATCAAATTTGACGAATATTTTTTGAACATTTTGTCTTTGACACTGATCATAATTAGAAGATGTATGTTGAGTATCCTTGGACGGACCAAAAAATTATATTTCGATTGTTTCGGGGAAAAATAGTCAACTTTAAGGTCTCGAAAAATCAGTCCAGAATTTTTCAAGTTGTCTGAAAATTTTAGAGTATACTATACAGACATAGAGCTTCATTTTTGTAATTGGCAACTTTTCTGTAGCTTTTTCAATTTTTGAAATGCGTGCCTTTAATGATGAGACGGCAACAGTGTAAGAGAGAAAGTGGTATGATATTTTTAAACAGACATATCTCCAAAACTAAAAAAGCTACAAAAAAGTTGTAAATTACAGAAATGAAGATCTATTTTTGTTTAATATACTCTGAAAATTTCAGACAAATCGGAAAATTTTTAAACATTTTTCTAAGTTTTCGAATCAGACTATTTTACTTTTCAAAATTTTTTTTGGTTCGTCAAAGATCCAGCAAGATCCTCATCATGCATGTTCAATATTTTACCCTTTTTTCCCATTTTTTAACCTATTTCTTGCCCTTCATTTGCCCTAATCTAAATTCCAACATACATTGTAGTCACTTTGTATGTTGTTTATTTTCTTCCGCCCCGTTTTCTCGGACCGTCTAAATCTCTTCTATTCTCACTATATCTCACTGGTCTCTTTTGATGCAGAACTCTGATTTTCCGATAGATTCGTATACACAAAGCACGAAAACGTTGGTTTCGTTTTTTTGTACAAATCGGTTTTTTGGACTTTTTTGAAACCTAATTTTTTGTAATCCTGAAGTTTCTAGAATTTTTTAAATATTCATATTGTTGCTGGACCATATGAAACCTTTTAAGATGACATTTTTCCCTATTCAAGGTTTTTTGAAATTTGTTCTCGTGCTCTTAAAATTCGTTAAGACTATTCTGAATAGCAGCATACTTCAAAATCCCGAGAAATTCCGGTTTTTAGAATTCCCCGATACCGTAAAAGCTGTAATAAAAGAACCATCAAACTTTTAAATTCGAACCTCGGTTCCTGTCGCAAAAAAGACACAAAAAAAGTTGTCAACTGATACATTTTTTATCATAATATCCGGAATATTTTGTCAGTTGACACTTTTGACATCTTGCAAAGGAGACGAGAAAACTAAACTCAAACCTTACAGTGCGGGAGCCCTTTTATTACAAGTTTCATGCTAGTCGCTCCTTACTTAGAGACAACAGATGACGTGAGAGAGGTACTGTGCCCTCCCAAAAAATCAAAAAAATTTGCCAATTACAACATTTATTTTAACAACAATCTTTTTTATGATCAAAAAGCCAAGGAATTAGGTGTTCACTTCTTGAAAGCGATATGAGTTCCGTCTCCAAGATTGAGAAGAGCCGAATAGGTACGATCGTCCTGATAGATCTTGTCATTGGCATCGTGAATGGCTTGTGTGCTCTCGCTCTCGGCTCGCTTGGCTGGGTCGCAGACAGCTCCGTTCCAGAGGCTCTGAAAGATTGAAAGCATGTTATATGTTCTCTATTGGACTCGCTAGCCAAGGAACAGCTTGGTGATTTTTTAAAACGCTCACATTATCTTGGAACATTCGAAAAGCCTAACAAGTTCTGGAAATTCTCAAGTGCTTAAAACTGATCTAAGATGTTCAAGGAGGTTATCTACCAGTGATTTTGTGTCTCTTTTGGAAGCTTCCAGAAGCCTTGGTAGGTCTTCCGAAGCAAAACCTTCCAAAGAAGCCTCTAGAAGGATCTACAAGAACTTGCCACTAATGTAAGTAAAAACATAGATCCTAGATCACACTTTTATAATCCCGGACCTCACCACCTACATAGCTTTCCCTCCTCTTCCACCAAACTCACATTGTCCACAAAAATGACACCTCCCTTGCGAAGAAGTGTCACCGAACGATCGTAATAGTTACTGTAGTTGGCCTTGTCAGCATCGATGAATGCGAAATCAAAGGTTCCAGATTGGCCATCAGCAATCAGTTTATCTGAATTTTCCTAATTTCTTTTTGATCCTGAAACTCTCCCTACCCAATGCCTCCAAAGCGGATCCCTCGAGTGCGTGAATCTTTTTGAACGTCTTCTCGCATTTCGAAATCACTGGCACTCCGTATTTCTTATAATTTGTATGGTCAATATCAAATGTATAAACCTCTCCATCATCCGGAACAGCCAATGCCCATGCCAATGCGGATGCTCCTGTATAGGTACCAATGTCCAGGACACGCTTTCCTCCGAAGGATCTTATGAAGTTCTGTCCGAATGAGAGAACTTCTGGAGCTCCAAGCATTCCACTGTGTGGAGCATTGGAGAGAGTTTCCTTCTGGAGTTCAGCTTGAAGAGGGGACTGGATGCTGGTATGCTGGAAGGGTTTATTTTTGTGGAACAATCTACAACAAAAAAACCAACCTCCGAGCAATAAGCCACCACTGGATCAGCTCCTTTTTCGTAGCTCTTTGCCACCACTGAAGTCATTTTTTCTGGGAAATTCTAATTCAATATATAAAGAAAACGAAAAAGGACAGAAGTATCCTTTCCGTTGTCTCCATCTGCTTTTATATTCCCGGATCTACGTGAATTATTGTCGTTTTTTCGGCATATTTTTGGAAGCTCGTCACTTTTGTCACTGTGTCTGCGTCTCTATTGCAACTGAACTCTCCGACGAATTGAAAGTTCAGCGCCACTAGAGAAACCTGGGGAAAATGAAATTGATCGAGAAATTTTGAAATAGTTTTTGGAAGATCAAACCATGAGAATTATGAGCAATGTAATTATGTCGATATTCTAGGAGGGAATTGGGAAAAATCGTGTTTGTCTCGGTTTCCGAAATTTCGGATTTTCTGAATTTTTTTAACTTTTGAATTTCGGAGTTTCCGATTTTTCAAATTTCATAGTTTTTGGGAACTTTTAAAAACTTTGAATTGTCTGGAATTTCCTAGATTTCGATTTTCTGAATTTGTGAAATTTTCAAATCTTAAAGTTAAGATTTTCTGGAACTCATGAATATTAGAAATTTTGAATTTCCAAGAATTTCTTAAACGACGGAAATTCAAAATTTTGGAATTTCTGACTTTTTGAAATTGACGATTTTGTGATTTTTCTTTTGGATTTTTGGAATTTTTGAAATTTCGAATATTCTTTTTTTCATTTTTCACATTTTTCAATTTTCCGATTTTATTTCTTTTTTCTATTTCACTGATTTTCCGTTTTCAATCCAACTTTCAGTTTAATTTTCAAACTTTCAACTTTTCCCCAAAAATATCTTTAGTTTCATTTTTTTATCAGGTTCATAGTTCCTTATCATTTTTTCTCTCTTTTAAAGTTTCCTTCCGAAAGAGCATGACAAAATTCAATTTGGCAAAAAATGATGATTTTTCAGAAATTTTGGGCAATTTTAATTATCTTATTGTTATCACCTTCTTTGGTCTTTGGTGTATTTCTAAGAATAATAAAAGAAAAAGAAAAACATAATATTTTAGGTTTTCTTAGAAGGATTGGTTTTTTGTTCCTGTTTCCTCAGAATTGTTCGTATTTTGATAATTGGGAAATTCCAGAGATCTCCTTATAATTTTTTTTCAGAGATATCTAATTTTCAGAAGTTCCAAAATCCGAAAAATTCTGAAAATTCAGAAATTCCAGAAAATCAGCAGTAATCGAAAATTCGAGAATTTTAGGAATTCTGGAATTCCAAAACTTCCGAAATTTCCAGAAATTCAATGTTTCGAAATTCTAAAAATTTCCGACATTTCAACAAATTCCAAAATCTGAATCTCTGAAAGTTAGAAACTTCAGAAAACGTAATATTTGTTTCAAATCCGAATATTCGGAGATTCAGAATTTCCAGAACATTTATTCAAAATTCCAGAGACATAGAAATTGGCTAGTTCCAAAAAATCGAAAATTCCAAATTTTGAAAATTCTAGAAATTCAAACTCATTTTAACTTTTTCCGAATTTTCCCAGAATAAATTGTTTTTCTTGCATCAATTTTTTTTCAACCCAATTCCCAAGAAACCTAAAAGTACCTTGATCAAAGAAATAAAACTAGGCTCCGCCCCCTTTTTTAGGGAGACGCAGACATTCCGAGAAAAACGTTTTTGTCATCGTTTTCTATTTCCCTCGTAAAGTATAAAAGCAAAACCATCTTATGTTTGTTTATCTTTTTCTCACTTTTTGGCTTTTTCTAAATTTTCAAATTTCGAATGTTTTCCAGAAAATGTCCGTCGCCAAGAGTTACCATAAAGAAGTGGCTCCAGTTTTGGCCTACTGTGCAGAGGTAAGAAAAAGGAATTTTTTGAAAATCGTAATTTTGAAAACTCGGAATGACTCGGAATCGAAAAAATGGAAAATTTATTAGATGGGCTTTAGGACCTTCAAAAAACATTCCCAGTTTCTCAATAAGATTCTCAATAGAGCACATTTTCCAGCACACCGTCGTGCAAGAGCAACTCCAGGAGCAACTTCAAAAAGAGACTCTCTCCCATGCTCCAATGTCCATGATGCTTGGAGCTCCAGAAGTTCTCTCATTCGGACAGAACTTCATCAGATCCTTCGGAGGAAAGCGTGTCCTGGACATTGGTACCTATACAGGAGCATCCGCTTGGCATGGGCATTGGCTGTTCCGGATGATGGAGAGGTTTATACATTTGATATTGACCATACAAATTATAAGAAATACGGAGTGCCAGTGATTTCGAAATGCGAGAAGACGTTCAAAAAGATTCACGCTTTTGAGGGATCCGCTTTGGAGGCATTGGGTAGGGAGAGTTTCAGGATCAAAAAGAAATTAGGAAAATTCAGATAAACTGATTGCTGATGGTCAATCTGGAACCTTTGATTTCGCATTCATCGATGCTGACAAGGCCAACTACAGTAACTATTACGATCGTTCGGTGACACTTCTTCGCAAGGGAGGTGTCATTTTTGTGGACAATGTGAGTTTGGTGGAAGAGGAGGGAAAGTTAGGTGGTCAGATCGCTAGTGTATCTAAGATCTATGTTTTTACTTACATTAGTGACAAGTTCTTGTAGATCCTTCTAGAGGCTTCTTTGGAAGGTTTTGCTTCGGAAGACCTACCAAGGCTTCTGGAAGCTTCCGAAATGACCGCGAAAGCTACTGGTACTTGTGTAACCTCCTGGAAGATCTTAGACCAGTTATAAGCACTTTAGGTTTTCCAAAACTTTGTAGACTTCTGGAAATTTCTAAAGCTCTAGAAAGGACCTTCTAACTTTTCCCTCTAGCGAGTCCAATAGAGCGCATTTTCCAACTTCTGCAATCTTACAGAGTCTCTGGAGCGGATCGGTCTGCGACCCAGCCAAGCGAGCCGAGAGCGAGAGCACACAAGCCATTCACGATGCCAATGACAAGATCTATCAGGACGATCGTACCTATTCGGCTCTTCTCAATCTTGGAGACGGAACTCATGTCGCTTTCAAGAAGTGAACACCTAATTCTATTGATTTGATTTTAAAACGCTTGTATTTCTTTATAAAATGTATTTTTCTTGTGACCTCTTCCCATGAGCCTCCTTATCTCCCGATCTGATCTTTCTGGAGCAGATCTAACCTACTGATAAGAGATTGCTATAAAAGCCAACCAACTCTCCCAACCACACCATCGAGTAAAACTCTTTCCAACATGGCCCAATCCGTCCCACCAGGAGACATCCAAACCCAGCCCAACGCGAAGATCGTGTTCAACGCACCGTATGATGACAAGCACACGTAACACATCAAGGTGATCAACTCATCTGCTCGTCGCATTGGTTACGGTATCAAGACGACGAACATGAAGCGTCTTGGTGTCGATCCGCCATGTGGAGTTCTCGATCCAAAGGAGGCTGTTCTCTTGGCTGTTTCCTGTGATGCGTTCGCTTTTGGACAGGAGGTATGTGTAGATATCCGAGGATCTGTGGGCCCAGATATCTAGGTTTCTAGATGGCTAGACCTTGTAGAGCCTGGGAAGCAATATAAATGGGTTTATAGGTCTTTCAGAAGATTCCACAAAAAAATTAGGTCCTAGAAGTCTGGGTTCTTTAGTCTAGAACTTTTAGAGCTTTTCAGAAGCTTCTGACGCCTTTTGGATGATGGTTCTAGGAGCTTCGGAACCCTTATCTAGGCTTCTGATGGGCACCTCAAGCTTGCTATACTGACATCCAAATCTATGGAAGCAAGATCTGGGGTATCGGTCTTGTAGAGGCTTTTCAAACTGGTTCCGAAAGCTGCAGAAGTGTTCTGAATGCTTCCAAAAAGCCACCGATGCTTTTAGAACCTTTTAAAAGATCTAGGACCAGTTTTGAGCTTCTCCAGAACCTTCTATGCTCTTCTAGCCATCAAAACGGTCTATAGAATCCTGGAACTTCTAGCTTCTAGGCTTTTCTGACTATCGAAACTGACTATAGGCTTCTGAAAAATTCAGAATGCCTTTAAAAAATCCTTTCTTCCAGGACACGAACAACGACCGTATCACCGTTGAATGGACCAACACGCCGGACGGTGCCGCCAAGCAGTTCCGTCGTGAATGGTTCCAGGGAGACGGAATGGTCCGTCGCAAGAACTTGCCCATCGAGTACAACCCATAAAGGGACCATTTGGGAGCAACAACAAGCGGCAGCCACACATGTCTATTTCCTGGAGATTATCCTCAGAATTTTATTTTCTTCGATTTTTGTGATTTGATGAATGAATGAGATTGTAGAGGTGCTGATCTTGAATCCTTATGGGCTAGAAGACTTGGAAAATCTAGAGAAAAAAGCAAGAAAAATTTAAGAAAACAAAAAGAAAATAGAATAAAAAATCAGAAAATTTTTGAAAAAATACTTCCGCTATCCCCTAATTCAGGCCTAAAACCCCAAAATCGAGATTTTGACTTAAAAAAAAAATCAATTTTTGGATTCAGGTGAACAGATAAAAAAGAGAATACACGTAGATTTAGAATCAAAATCAGTAAAAAATAACACAGAAAAATGACGAGAAAGAAGTGATACAGATGAAAATAGATTTTCTTAGAAATTTCGAAAATTAGCAGAATTTCCCGTTGACGAGATCGTAGAACTGTTTGCCGGGCGCGTAGATGTTGAACACCGTCGACAGTTCGATGTCTTCTTGGAATCGGCGGACGCTTCGCTGGAAAGATTGAATTTTTAGTGGAATTCTCCAGAATTCCTGGTCATTTTAGACAATTTTTGGGTCATTTGGCCACTTTTCCTAGCTAATTTTAGACCAATTTTGAATCATCTTTGTAGTTTTTTGGGTCATTTTGCACTTTTCCAAGTTATTTAGAGCAATTTTGAGTCATCTTGCACATTTTTCTAGGTCATTGTGAACCAATTTTGAGTTTTTTCTAGTTCATATCAGATATTTTCAGTCATTTGGCTACTTTTCTAGGTAATTTTAGATACATTTTGAGTCATTTTGGACCGATTTTAGGTCATTTTAAACCAATTTTGAATAAATTTGGCCACTTTTCTAGGTAATTTTAGACCAATTTCAAGCAATTTTAGGTAATTAATACACCTTTTTCAGGTCATTTCAAAACAATTTCTAGGTCATTTCGATTAAATCTTGAGTTATTTAGCACTTTTTTCAGGTCATTATAGACCTATTTTCACTCATTTTTGTTATTTTTAGGGTGCTTGAAGACTAAAACCGGGTCATTCTACACGTTTTTATAAGTTATTTGGGACCGATTTTAAGATATTAATCCAGTTTTGAGCCATTCTGCACCTTTTTTCGGGTCATTTCAGGATTTTTTCCAGAGTTTTGGGATTTTTTCCAGCTCGTTCAGATTATTCTAGACCCGATTTCGAGCCATTTGATAACTTTTTAGGTGCTTTTACGCAAATTTCGAATCATTTTGCACCTTTTCCTAGGTAATTTTAAACCCATTTCGGCTCACTTCAGTCAAATTTTGGGTACTTTTTTGTAGTTTTTTGAGTTATTTCAGGCTATCATCGGGTCATTTTGATTTTTTTAAATGTCATTTTGGACATTTTTCCTAGGCCAGTTTACACTGATTTCGAGCCTTTTTTGGCCATTTTTCCAAGTATTTTGAAACCAATTTTGAGTCATTCGGATATTTTTTAGGTCATTCTAGACTCATTTACAGCTATTTCGCACATAATTAAAGCTGTTTTTTTCTGATTTTGAACGAAATACAAAGAAATGTTTTTAGTTTTCCATTTATTTTGAATCATTTCCGCCCAATGTTTAGTTCTTTTAGACCAAACATAATCTTGATTCTCACCTGAACAGCTGGTAGCAATGTGAGCAATTGAGCAACTCTCACAGCTGGCTCCTGGATTTTCTTCACGAATCGCAGATAAAACGTCAGCTCTCTCATCACTCGATCCTTGACTTCCTTCCCGATCAACACGCATTCATCGGTTTGTTCCTCTAAACCGAAATCCCAAAAAAGAAGTGTGCAAAGTGCGAAGAACTCGTAGACGTCGACTTTCTCAGCCATCACCGGTAGGATTAGAGCGCGACGATGAATCTCGAACGACGGTTGGAACATTCTGGAAGTCCTGTTTTTTAGTCAACGGGGGGACGTTCGAGAGGCTCGGTTTTGATTGGAAAATCGATTTTTTAATTTGCAATAAAAATAGGCGTTTTCAGACTGAAAAATCGGAGGGGTTTAGCTTCGAAATTGAGATTTTTCAGCTTTAAATTTGTTTTTCCAGCAAAATTATCATTTTTTGACCTGGAAAACCGCCAAAAAAAACCTCAAATGTGGGAAAAAGGACATCTGGATCTTGGCACGTACCGACAGATTTTCGAAATGTCAAGGTTTTCAGCTTTTTTTTAAAAAGATTTCCCGAGAAACTTATTTGCAGAATTGTAAAAATACAAATTAGCTAAAATCTAAGTTAAAAATGACCAAAAATAGAAACGGCCGAAAATCTGTCTGTAAGTATGGAAATCCGGATGTCCACACTTTTGGGCATTCTTTCAGGAATTTTAGATTCAAAAAAATTTGAATTTGCTGAAAAATTTGCTAAAAAACGACCGGAAGAGTGCTAAAAATCGAAAATCTGTCTGTGCGTCCGAAAGTCCGGATGACCGATTTCTGACACAATTTCGATGTTTCTGGTAGTTTTTAAGCGAAATTTCGGCGTCGCCAGATTTTCAATGTTTCTAGCTGATTTTTCACATTTTCAGCTCAAGTTTCCAATAAAAAACCTACTTTTTCACCTCATCTGGTGACAATTGCTGCTGCTCAACATCTGGATCATAGAAGAATTTGTCTAAATTCTGAATATCGATATAGTCTCCAGAAGGGCAAATAATTGCGTTCGACGTGTCGTTGATATGACATAAAAACGCGCCTTCGATCATGTTGAACGGTGTGTAGAAGTTGCGGAACAGAACTTTCTGGAAAATTGGACAAAATGAATTTTCAGATTCTTGTTTCCAGACCTTCTGATCAATGGGAAGCTGTACAAATTCGTCGAAACACCACGATATCCAATCGGCGACCAGGGAAACTTCTCGAATGCTCTGCTTCTCGCATTCTTTGTAGTTTATCGCTTTTGGCGCTTTTTCCTTGAAAAAATAGTTGAAAAATGACCAAAAATGATATTTTTAGCCAATTTTTTGATCTGATTATTAGAATTTTCAACCCAATTTTTATCCTAAAAATTCGCTAAAAATGATTCAAAATGGAGAACAATCGAGAAAGTTTGTCTGAAAGTCCGAAAATCCGGATTTCCGCTTTCTGACACGATTTTTGAGCTGATTTCCGAATTTTCAAGCCGTTTTTCTTCAAAAATTCGCTGAAAATGATCGAAAAACCATAAAAATCGAGAAAATCTGTTCGTAAATCCGAAAATCCGGATGTCCGCTTTCTGACACAATTTCTCATATTTTTTTGTTGTTTTTAGCTGATTTGGTGTTTTTAAATTTCAAATCACCTTTTGTTTCAAAAAATGACCAAAAACGCCCTAAAAACAATAAAAAATCTAGAAAATCTGTCTGTAAGTCCGGAAATCCGGATGTCAGCTTTTCGACACAATTTCAACCAAATTTTCTTGATTTTTTCAATTTCCCCCCCCCCCCCCCCCCGATTTTTACCTTAAAAAGACTCTGCCCATCCTTGCGATGAATCACGATTCTCGCATTATCCATCTTCCGATAGTTCACTCGCATTTTCGTCAAAATCGGCATCGCATCGATCAATTCCGCTGGCAAATCGCCAACCAGTGGCGTCGGACTACTCGTAGTGGGCAGAACACTTTCACCAATAGAGCTTAAAGCTTGATACAAGTCCATATTCGTGGAGTCAGGCTTCATTTCGCGTTTTCCGATGACGTCACGTCGCTGTTGAACCCCAGCTGGATTCATGCCGACTTCGAGACACTTGGTAAAGCGACACGCGCGACACATACAGCGGACATCTGAAGCTTGGCATTTTTTTTTATATTTGTTATCTAAATTCAAAAATAAATTACTTGCAGCAATATCACAATCATTGTTTCCCCGACAGAGATAACGTTTGTCCAGTGATACACTTCTACGGAAGAATGCAGCGCAAGCTCTGGAAATTCGTCATTTTCAGATGAAAATCTAGAAGAATTCTTTCTAACCTGCATGCTTCTGCACCAAAATGAAACCCGTCGCCCTCCTCTCGGCATACAGCACAACTGGCGCGTTCTCTTTGCGGCAACATCGAAGATTCTATAGTAGGCAACGAGGAAGGCGAATCCAATTCTTCTAGTTTTGTGGTCATCTCTGGAAAGCAAAAAGAGAAAAAAATGGCGAAAAGTGATGGAAATACATATAATCGAAAATCAATAAGACACTTGATAAGGGCAACTGCTGGTGTAATCTCTGAAAGTGAAGGCAGACCAAAGCGATGGAGAAAAGTGTGGAGGAGCAGAGAGAAAAGTGTAGTTTGTGCTCCAGGAGGAAAAAAAACTCAAGAAGTCAAAAAATATGAGACTTGGTGGAAAAATGGAAAGAGGAGAACCTGCAGCGCGGCAAACACAAATTATAGTTTGTAGTCTCGTCACAAGATACACTTTTCGTAGTTTGTGTAGTGCGGATTAATAATGCAATCCGGTTTTTTTTGAGAAAAACATCAAAAGGGAGAGGAAAAACAAGAGTTCAGAAGGACGATAAAATGTTGTCTGGGGAATAAAATGTGAAAATTCTCGATTTTCGATTGAGAAATTGGGATTTTATGCAACACCGAAACTCCAGAAAGAATTCAAGAAAATATTTTTACCAGAATATATTCATTTTTTCCTTTTTTCATCCGATTTTATCTGAAATTTGAGAATTTTCCGGTTGAAAAAACTGATTTTCTCTATATTTTTCAATCTTTTTCAGCTTTTTCTCGTTAAAAATTCGTCAAAAATCAACAGAAACAGACAGAAATTCGCTGAAAAACTCAAAAAAGATCGAATAAAAATTAATTACAGTAACTTGCAGTTCCCCTGTACCTTTAAGCTTTCGCGGCGAGACCCGCCATTTTGAAACGTGGCGCCAGCTTGAAAAGGAACCGCGCATTTTCGGCTTTCGACCTGGATTTTCTTTCACTTTTGTTTATTTTCAATCGAATTTTTTGTATTCTGCGACGTTTGGACAGTTTTCTGTCTGTATTTGGACTCAAAAATTCGAAATTTTCGCAGGAATTTGAACATTTTTCGTAGGTTCGTCAAAAATTAAGGGAAATTTTAATTTTTGAAGGCCTCTGCTTTCTATTTCCGGCCAGTTTCTTGGGGAAAATCCGAGACATTGTCTAAAATTGTTGATTTTCATCCCACGCGAATGCATTTTTTCAGAAATTCGACGATTTTTTTCGGGAGACTTGTTGTGCTCGACTCTCATATGGGTCTCTTGACTTTGCGATTTTTGTGGCCAGTTTCAAGCGTTGTTCAGGAAATTTGAACCATATGTGTCTGCTAGAATCTCAGTCTCTCATATTTTTTGTTAATTCCAAGGTTCCCAGCAGTCTATTTTCGGTTTTTCCTGCTGCCTCTCAAGATTTTTTCTTTACAGTTTTCATCTTCTCCCTGAAAAAATTCCCTGTATTCCCAGAAATGTTTTTGAACAGTCTCTCCATTTCTTTCTTTCTTCCCTTGTTTTCAACGTCCTCTATCTGCCCTCCCCATCTCTCTCTCTCTCTCATCTTCAGTAGAGAGATTCTCTACCAGCACCATTATACAGATTTCTCTCCGCTGAGTCACTATATTGTTGTTTTCTTTCACCCTTACACAGTTTTCGCTCCTGCACTCCCTCCCATTCATTCAGTGGGGGCGATGGATGGCGCGAGATGTGCCGAGAGATAGGAACAACAAGGAGAGGGAGCCACGAGGCGAACACTGGCCGCCGCCGCGGTTGCAGAGACCCTTCTCTTTTCTCTCTGGGTCCACACTATTTCTAGGAGCGAGAGGGACACGAATGAAGGGGCAGCGGGGAGGCCATTCGCGCTCACGCCACCGCCTCGACAGTCTGGTACACTTTTTCTTTGTATGTCCTTCCCCGTTTCGCAATGTCTGTTTTCGTATTAGTTAGGAAATCGGATGCCACATCGTCTTTCTAGAAGCCTATTTTAAGATTTCCAGGTCATCTCTAATTGCGCGTGACTCCTTGTTTTCCTAGTTTGTTTGTGTTTGCTGGCAGACACGTGTAGGGTCTCTGCAGTCCTAGAATGAGTCGTCTTGGAGGTTTAGTTCAGTTTTGCCACCGCGCTCAGAATCCAATGTTCGCTGCTTTCCTTAGAACTGCTCATTGTGCATTGGTAATTTTTTCCGTCATTTTCCTACTCATCTTCTTCTCCGTCTCGTTTTGACCCATCTCTTTTTCCTCTAATTATGTCTTGCCCTCTGTTTCACTCTCCCCATCTCTCGCTCAACCATTGCTATTTCCAGAAAAACATGCCAATTCAAAGCGACATCGTTGGAAAGTGGAACTTCGTCTCTTCGGAGAACTTTGACGAGTACCTCAAGGAGGTTGGAGTCGGATGGGCCGTCAGAACCATTGCCACCAAGACGAAGCCAACTCTCGAGTTCGCCGTCAAGGGAGACGAGTGGACCATGAACTCCAACTCCACCTTCAAGAACTACACTCTCAAGTGGAAGCTCGGAGCTGCTAGCGATGAGAAGACCGCCGATGGGCGTGATGTAAGTTTCTTGCAAAAATTCAGCTGATTCCTTCGAACTAAATGATGTTTTCTAGGTGTCCAGCGTCTTCAACGTCGAGGGAGACAAGCTCGTTCAAGTCGAGACCGGAAAGGGAGGAGGCAAGGATTCTCGCATCGAGAGATACATTGAGAACGGCAAGCTCGTCATCGTCTGTACCTGCAACAACGTCAAGTGCACCCGCGTCTACGAGAAGGCCGCCTAAACTGGCTCGACACCCGAGAAATAAGAACTAATTATTTATTGTATTTCCCCGATTGCCCTCTTTCTACGGAACCCCACCCAAAGCTTTTATCATTCTCCCTATTTTATGAAATGTAATTTTTAAACAAATTCGAACAATATTTATCACAGAAATGCCGTGATAGCGACCCGCTTGGCTAGAGATTCAAAATTAGGTTCAGCGTCTAGACAACATCCTCATCTATGAATTTAATCGAACTAAAACTGGCTCCGAACGCTTTCGTTGGTGTCTTCTCAGAAGCGACTCTTCGTGTCACGCAGATGCAGTAGAAGATGATAATGAGAAGAACCATCAGGAGGACCCAGATGCCAATGAACATCATGTAATCCACCCAATAGAATTCGTCGTCTGGCTGCAAAAAGAAACAGTAAGAATGCGAGAGACTTGTCAAAATCATACCATCGTCCCCGTCCAAATGCACATGTCAGAATTGGAAGGCGTTCTAATAAAGGGACACGTCGGATCCGGACACAAAACTTGTGAAGCCGTCGGTCGGTATTGCGATTCTCTCGCCGAGTTCCTTGTGAACAACGAATTCCAAACGGCCAAATGAAGCAACGAAAGGCCTCGTTCCGAGAAGTGAGCACAATCGTAGCCGAGAATGCTCAGATCCACTCTGAGAAATGTTGTTTTTTTGGGTGGAAATTCAAAATTAGGACAAACCCATCAGGAAGGTTGGTGAGTGCCGGATCCTTGAGAAGTGGCAGGACTTCCACGTGGAATTGCGGTTTTCGGTAGTTTTTTTCGACGATTATTTCGACCTAAAAAATCGATATTTCCAAAAAATTCGAAAAAAGGGCTCACCTGATCCCAAACTGAATTATAATTGAACTTATTGTGCACCTTCCACTGAGCCAGCTGGCTCTTACAAGCCAATGATTGATGACTGGCATCACGCCAGATTCCACTTCCGGATGATCGTAAAACGACAACGAACGTTTTCTCGGGCACTAACTTGACTAATTCCTCGATGGCGGCGAGTACTTCGACTGCCGTTTGTCCGGTTTCCGATGCTTTTCCGTCTTGAATTGTCGCCAGAATCACTATCATTTTCCAATGATTCTCGTAATCATTGATTCGTCGAATCGATTCACCAATGTCTCTTGCTTGATCAGCTAGCGATTCATCCAGTTGGTTGGATTCAATTTTCTGGAATTTTTTGATTATTTTTGAGGATTTCCTAAAAACCAAAAGTTTGTTATCCTTTGAAAAGGTCAACGTTTATCGCTATGTCTTTTTCAGACTTCCGTAGTTTTTGGATTTTATAGGTGTTTTTGGAAATTTTGGAATTTTCAGAGTTTTTCGAGTTCGGTATTTCGAATTTTCAGATTTTTTTCAAATTTTTCGGATTTTTGGAATTTTTGGAGCTTTCGGAATTTTTTTGGAAATCTGGATTCGGAATATCCTGAAATTTTGGAATTTCAGATTCTTGTAAGTTTTGATTTTTTCCGGTTTTTGGAAATCAGAAATTTCAAGGTTTTTTGGAACTCTCGGAATTTTCTGATTTTTGTAGTTTTTCAGAAGTTTTTTGAAATTTTTGGAATTCCAAGTTTCAATTGTTCAAATGTTCAGATTTTTCTATTCACTGGATTTTTCGGAGTTTTCGGAATTTTTTTGGAATTTTGAACTTTCGAGAGCTTTAAATGTTTCAGATTTTTGAAGTTTTTGGAATTTTATGGGTGTCGAAACTTTCGGAGTTCTTGCAGTATTTGGATTTTCAGATTTCTATAACTTTTCTGGAATTTCGATTTTTTTGGAATTTTTGGAATTTTTTTCCAGTTTTCGGAATATTCGGAAAATTTGGAATTTAGAACATTTTAGAATTCATGGAATTTTCAAATTTTGGTAGTTTTTTGCAGTTTTTGGAAAGTGAAGAATTTAAAGTTTCTGAAAATTTTCTCCGATTTTCGAAACACTGGAACTTCTGAAATTTTTGTATTTTCGAAATTTTGTTTATGGAATTATTGGAGCTTTCGAGATTAGTGGAATTTTTAGGAGGTTACTCTTCTCCAGATTTTTCAAATTTTTGATTTTTTGGAGTTTTCGAAAGTTTCGGAATTGGTTGAATTTTGAGTTTTGATCATTGTATTCTAGATTTCCTGGTGTGGAAGATAAGGCCCATTGAAGGTCTAAGTGTTATCTCAATAACGGAAAAAACTAGAAAAAGTAACCAATTGAAAAAAAGTGTGAAATTGAATTTCAAACATTTTCATAGTTGGCCAATTTTTTCTAACTTTTTTTGAGTTTAACCCGATTTTCAGCAGTAAGCCTCTATGTACAGTAGCCTACAACCTTCGAAGCGCGTTATCTTCCCAACCAAAAGAGGGAGAGGAACATTTTAAACTTTGAAGATGTGTCAAGATTCAAAACTTTTTTCTAATAAACGACTTTCTCTAGTATTCTTGGTTTCCGAGTTGTACCCGATTTTCGGCAGAGATATGTATTTGGCAGAATTGGCATTTGAGGTCATCTGCCGAAAATCGAGCATAACTCAGAAACGAAAAAAGCTAGACAAATTTTGTCAACTAGAAAAATGTGTACAATTCAATTTTACACATTTTCATAGTTATTCATTTTCTTCTAGCTCTTTTCGTTTTCAAGTTCTAGAATCCCTTCTCACTTGTAACTCTGCGCCTCGAAGCTGTAGCATTGATGAAAGAGATGGGAGACTCATTTCGGAGGATCGAAGATTGCATGGTCCCAGAATCCCTGCAAAGTTCAAAATTTCAAAGTTATTCTAGCATTTTCAAAATCCCCAGGGATGTTCTAGAATGTTTTGAACGTCCTCATTATCCTTGTGGATGCTTAATGAGAAAGAGAGAGAGAGAGAGAGAGAGAGAGAAAATAAATAAGCTGGTAATTAAAAAAGGGGGTATTATTTGTTATAGAAAATGGGGATGTTTTGATGGGACGGGCGGGAAAATAGGGATAAGGATTAAAGGGACACCTGGATAGGTAAGGGATGGAAATGAATGGGTTCTATGGCTTCAGAATTGGAGATTCTCGTTTTCAGATTTTTTCAAAAAAATGGAATTTAATTCAAAATTATCTAAATTCTGAAACTCTGAATTATGGAGAACAATTTTTAGAAAATCTGTAAAAGTGCTGAAATCCAGAAATTCAAAATTTTTGAGATGACAAATTTTCTGAAGCTTCGAGTTTTCGAATTTCGAGGAGATTCAAGCCGGTCCTTCTATTGTTCCAAGGTACCTCCGGAGGGCCCTTCTATTACAGGGGCCTTTCAATTAGAAGGGGGCCCTTCTATATTTCCGGCCAGTTTTTTTTTCCGAAATTTCGCATCGGAAAGTTCGACGAAGTTTCGTCCAAAATCCATGAAAATCTGCCAGTTTCACCGAAATTTAGCAAGATTTTCGTCGAAAAATAGAGTTTCAACAAATTTCTATTGAATTGTGGAGTTCCCGAAATATTTTCCACTGAAAAAGTACGGAAATTTTCTGATTTCAAAACAAATTTTGAAGGGGTGTGGGTCCTTTTTTACAGAGGGCCCTTCAATTACAGGGGGCCCTTCTATTACAGGGGGCGCTTCTATTTTTCCGAGCCCTTCTCGGAGGGCTCTTCTATTAGAGGGGCTCACAGATATTGTATTTCGGAAATTCAAAAAAAAAGTTTGAATTTCGAAAAAGAGAGAATCCAAAAAAATAAAATTTCCCAAAAATTCAAACTGCTCACCTTTCTGTAGTAGTGTATAATTACTGGGACAATACGATGATAATTGTCCTAATTCCCCATAAAACTTAATTGTTTTCGCTTGTAAATGATGAGCATCGTTTATTGATGGAATCGCCGTTTTTCTTGGTCCACATTTTTCCAGATCCTTCATTACATAGTCCAATGGATAGTCTTCTTCTTGCTCTTCGAGCTGGGAATTCTGAAAAAAATATTTAGAAAATTCTGGATTTTTAAGAATCTTGCAAATCTAAATTTATAAATCAGAAATTAAGGATTCGAGAAAGTTAGAATCCTAAAAATTCAGAAATTCAAAAGTTCAAATTTTTGAAAAATTATTTTTCCCTTTTTTTGAATTCTCAATTTTTTTTTAAACTTGAAGAATCTCTGAATTTGATATAACATTTCCAAATAACTTCTAAATGTTCTAGTCCTCCAAAGAACTTCTAAATGTTCACAAATTTCTCACTAAATTTCAGAACTTTTTCCCAATTTTTAAAATGTCTTGAAAGTTTTCAAACTTCTGATTTCAAAAGTTCCAAAATCCGAATATTTTCTTATTTTCTCTAAAATTTTAATATTTAATTTGTAACTGATGCCCCAGATTTTCGGGAAACTTCACTATCAAAAACAATTATTCCGGTTCATTAGTTTTCCGATTTTCCTGAAAAAGAAAGGATTTTGGAATGAGATATCCAGAAAAATTCAAGAATCCCATAAAATGAGATATTCAAAATTTCAAAAAAAAATCGGAAATCGAAACACACAGAAATTCGGAAACTGGAAAATTCAAAAATTCAAGAATCCAATTCGAGAAAAAAACTCCTAGTTTTCAAAAATGGCCTAGAAAATCTCCAATCTAGGCCATCAATTTTCAAAGATTTATGGCTTTTTCTTTTTTTTTCGGATAAGGGAAGGGAAAAGAAAAATGAGCCGACTATTAATCAAAAAACGTCCGAAATGTTTCCTTCTACCCCATAAACTTTTCAATGGCCTAGAAAACTCCCAAACGGCCTAGTGTTCCGCCCCACCCACCTGCAAAGTGATCAATTCCATCCATTGATCATAAAAATCCCGATCCGTCGTCAATTTTTCTTCTGTCCTCGTCAAAAAGTCATCGTTTCGAATGTGCTGAGATTCTGATGACGTGGGGAAGAAAACGACGACGAAGAAAATTAGAAAATTCAAAATTTTATTTTTCATATTTTTGTTTTTGAATTTTCTTTAAAGGTTTGATTGACCTGAAAATGAATGATTTGAAAATTTGGAAAATCGGAGAACTCTGAAAAACGAAAGTTGTCAAAAAAAAAGAGAAAGAAGAAAAACGAAAGGAAATGAGATGACGGAAAAATACTTTTGTTTTTTGGTGGCCTAGAAATTCCATTTCTCGAATTTTCTAGGCCATCAACTTCAAATGCGTGAAACTTCGTTTGAAGTGGTTTAATTTAGTTTAAAAATTGACAGAATTGAAGGAAATCCAGAAAAGAAAAACATTTGATGGCCAAGAAGTCTCAATTTTGGTTTTCTAGGCCACCATTTCAAATGCGTGTAACTTCATCTAAAGTGATTCAATTTGGCTCGAAAATATACAGAATAGTAGGGAATTAAAAGGGGAAAATATGGACTTCAAAATTCGAATGTTTCAGAATTTCATAAATTCAGAAATTCATAAATTCAAGAATTCGGTAATTTAGAAATTCTGAAATTCTGAAATTCGAAAATTCTGAAATTCAAAAGTTCTGAAATTCAAAAATTCAAAAATTCAGAAATCAATGTTCCACCCAACTCATTACTCATCATTGCTCAACCCTGCTTCTTCCAACTGACCACGCCCCCTTTTCCTCCCATCCACAAAAAGTGGGCGTGGCCTAATTGCTCACCCAATTTCCTTCAAAAAAAGAAGACGACTCTTCGTCTCCTAAATTGAATAACAAACATCAAAAGAGAGAAAAAAATCGCATCTTTTCAGGAACAAAAAGCAGGAGAAACCAATCGAGCTAATGGAAAAAAATAGGAAAAACTAGAGAAAAAAGAAAGAAGGGTTCCCAAAAAAAGAAGGGAAAAGCCAAAAAGATAACATAATTTTTTGAGAAAAAATGGGGAAAAGTGGACGAAAAGACAAAGTAGTGAGGATTAAAGAAACTTTCGAAAATGGAAACCAAAAATTATTATTTTTTGGAAATTGAAAAAAAATTTGCTAAAAAAATTTTTCATTCTGATTCGATTTTTTTGAAATACCTAAATCGAATTAATTTTTCCATTTGGATGACGTTGAAGGAAGGAAGTTAGTCATCTAATGGAAAAAAAGAACAATTGGAAAGTTTTCGGGAACAAACAATAAAAAGAAGTATTTTTAAATTTGTATTTTTTTTTCAAAATTTTGAATCCATTAGACTAATAATTATCATTTGAGCATGTTTGCAAAATGTCATAGTTGCAAAATTATTTTTTTTTGCATTAAGAACATTACTTTCATTTTTCATGCTCGATTAATTGTAGAAAATAAACAGGAAGTAAAAATGGTAGGATAACCAACAAAATTATCAAATACGCTCCAATGCACAATTTATGAAGTTCAGGAATCTGGAAGTTTAGGGATATAGAACACCGATAAGTTCAGAAATTCGTAAAGTTCTTAATTTTAAAAATTCGAAAAAAAGTTCTTAATTTAAAAAATTTTTTTTTTAAATTCGAAAAATTAAAAAAAACCGAAGTTTTGGAAAAAAATTCGAAGATTCAGAAAAACTGAAAATCAGGGATTTCTCTTTTCAATTAAAAAAAGTTCATTCGAAAACTCAGAAAAACTCTAGACGCTAGAATCAGAATCTCAGAATCTCAAAATCTCAGAATCTTAAAATCTCAGAATCTCAGAATCCCAGAATCTCAGAATCTCAGAATCCACGAATCTCAAAATCGCAGAATCTCAGAATCTCAGAATTTCAGAATCTCAGAATCTCAGAATCTCAGAATCTCAGAATCTCAGAATCTCAGAATCTCAGGATTTCAGAATCTCAGAATCTCAGAATCTCAGAATCTCAGAATCTCAGAATCTTAATTCCAATTCAAAAAAAAAAGTTCAAAAATAACTCTTAACATTTCGTACCAAACAGTTGATCACTTGCGAAAAAAAAGAAGCCACATGAGTGGGACATGACATATCTATTTTTCCTATATCCCTTTTTATCTTTTTTCTTATCCCTTCTTATCAAAAACAGCACGTTTTGTGGTCCCACCGGAAACTGACATTTGCTCATGAAAACATGATTTTTCGGTGACAAATTTCTTTTGAAAAAAATTTCTTGGGAAAAAAAAATGAAAAATCATGTTGTAAAAATGATGGATAAAATGAAAAAATCCATAGGATTTGTGATCATTTGGAAGAGATATTTTGGAAGAGGGAAAAATAGAGATTTCGTGGTATCTCGGAATGAAAATGAAGTCAACCGGAAGAGGTATTTGTGTACAAAATGATGTACTAACATCACCGAATTGGAGACACAAGAGACAAACAAATTATCGGATAGGGAGAGACTGAAGAAAGGGGATAGGACGGGATTTGGAATTGAGACAGGAGGCTTCGAAATTCGGAGTTCTAGACTTACAGAATCTCAGAATTTGGGACTTCTAGAAATTCAAACTTTCAGATTCTCAGAATTTTGGAAAATATAAAATCACAAAATTTGGAAACTCAAAAACTTCCAAATTTCAGAATCTCCAAATTGCGAAAACTTTTCAGAATTCCAGAATTTCAAAGTTACTAAACTTCACAATTAGAAATCATCAGAATCTCAGAATCCTGAAGTCTTCAAATTTCGAAATTGTATAAAGAATCTCTACAGAGTATGATTTCTAGAATGTTTGCAAGTTTCGGGAAACTTCAAATTCTGGAATTGTTTAGAACTTTTGTCTCAAATTTTCGAATTTTGAAAAATTATTGATACTTTTTCTGTTTTTCACACTTATCGAAACATTTGGAGGGACGCAAAATCTGGGGTTTAACAACGTGAAAAAACTTTGAATTCTCGAATTTTGAAAATTTCAAATTCGTGCAGTTTTTTAAGACTTCAGAGTTTCAGTATTGCAAAATTTCAAAATCTCCGAATCCCAGAATCTTAGAATCTCAGAATCTCAGAATCTCAGAATCTCAGTATTGCAAAATTTCAAAATCTCAGAATCTCAGAATCTCAGAATCTCAGAATCTCAGAATCTCAGAATCTCAGATCTTAGAATCTTAGAATCTTAGAATCTCTAAACCTTAGAATCTCAGAATCTCTAAACCTTCGAATCTCCGAATTCTAGTATTTCAGAATCCCAAAGCTTCAGAATCTCAGAATCTCAGAATTTCAGAATCTCAGACTTTCAAAACCTCAGAATCTCAGAATTTCAGAATTCCAGAATCTTCAGAATCTCAGAATCTTCAGAATCTTAGAATCTTCAGAATCTTCAAAATCTCAGAATCTCAGAATCTCGAAATCTCGAAATCTCAGAATTTCATATTCTTTTTGATGCGCAAAGGCACGAAATCGGTGATCGGCGATTTTCGACCTACCGAAATGGAAGCCTTATCTCAGAATTTCGGATTTTGTTAAATCAAAAGACAAATAAAACAAATAAAGGTTCTGTTCTTTTTCTGTTCTTCAAAAAAAGAACGAATGGGTTCTGTTCTTCGGAACACATGCATTTTTGAAAAGGTTCATGAAAAAGGTCTGTCTGCAAATTTCATTAATCATAGACCACTGGAACAAAGAAGTTCGAAGAATCAGTAATTCAAAAATTCGAGAATTCCAACAAAATTCGAAACAGTAAAAACCTCCAAAGCTTCAAAAATTCACGGATCCAGAAATTCGAAAAGAATCAAAATTTTCAGAAAATTTCTGGACTTCTGAAAAATGCGAAAACTCGGTCAATAAAAAAAACCAATTTTTACGCTGATTTTTTAAAATTTCGAACAATTGTAGGCAACATTGAAACTGGAACAGTAGCAGTGGTAATTGGAGAAGAGGAAACTTTAGGTGTGAAAATGAAACGGCGAGAGAGTGTAGAAGACGAAGAGACGCAGAGAGTGAGACAGAAAAATCGAGACAAACATACAAAAAAAGATTGAATGACGTGCCAAAGAGAAACGTGTTGATATCTGGTTTTGGGTATATATTGGTAGAGTGAGAGAGAGAGAAAAGTACTTGAAATGAAATGAATAGGAAAAAATTTGTTTGTAAAATTTTGTTTGAAAAATGCTCTTCAGGAAAAAGAGCAAAAGTTCTCGAATATTTTAGATTTTTAGGTTTTTTTATGACCATAAAAATTGAAAAAATCGGTAAAAGTCCGAGAAATTTTCAACACATTCTGAGATTTGGAGATTCACTGAAAAGTTTTGAAGCCTCATATTTTAGAATTTTGATGAGATTCTGAAAGAAATTCATTTTTTTTAAATTTCAAAAGTTTGAATCATTTTTCAACAAAAGAGTCGTCTAGAAAAAGTATAATTTTCAAGCCTAGTATTTTATGAAAGACTCAATTTTTTTTCTGTTTTTTGGAAAAGAATTGATTCGAAAATTGCTGGTTTTGTTTATTTCGGTCATTTTTGCAGTCAAATTCCAAATTTTGAAAAATAAGAAATTCAAAAACGCCATCATGGAAAATCGAATCTAACATTTTTCCCATTCAAATGTTTTTTCGTATTAACAGACAACAGACACAACAACCGTTTTTAATTGGTCTCCTCTTTTTTTACTCTTCGTTTTTATTCTTCTGGGAAAATTTTGAGGTGGCTTTTTACAATTTGTATGCAGGCATGCATGTAGTAATTTTACAGTGAATACATATACGAATACATATACGTCAGAATTTCAGAATTTCAGAATTTCAGAATTTCAGAAACTTTGAACTTCCGAATTTCCGAATTTCACAGTTCAATTCCTTCCATACAAACTATAAAAAAAACTTGAAGCCGGATTCACTTTGTCTCTTTTCCATAACTAAATGAGAAAACGGATAATTGTGAAACCCAGAAAAAATTAAGAAGATGAACTGCTTCTTTCTTTTTTGTTTCGTTCCGCGCAAAGTCGTAAATTAGTGGTTGGAAAGAAAAGACAGAAGAGAGACATTTATACATATAATTTCTCATTTTCCGATACAGATTAAGAAGAAGATTTATGGCTTCTACAGTATACTTGGGAAATCAGACCTCGGCCAAACCTGAAAGA